CAGGTGTGGAATAATGTACAGATGAGTTATTAAGTAACACAAAAATCACACAAAGGTTCATATTTTCAGTTTAAAACTACAGAAGCGAAACTGAAGTTCACAGTTCAGTAACTGGCCAAACGATATAACTATTAAAACACTGATCTACTCGTAGCTAAAGTACTGGTTCAAATTCTGTGGATCTGATCAGTGTTTTATGGTAGCTTCTTTCAAAAAGCTTACATTTTGATGTATACTTCAGTACATTAAAAAAATTGTATCATTTGAATGTTAGTGCACAACTTCAAGTAATAATTGAATCAATTAAAAGAAACCTTTTTTCATCTTCAGTCAGATCCATACTGCTCCAGTTCCTTGCTTATCAAGCTTTTTCATCTTCTTCGTCTCTTTCCGCGTTGTGAAATTCTATTCGACTGTGATCCAGAAATATGCAGTAACTATAAACCAGATGTGAACGATCCAGAATTATGCTTTCCTGCCAGTGCATGTTTATGGGACCTACTTCTATTAAAAAAGCATTCCGATCCCGTGGTAAGAAGTTTTGTTCAAACAGTATTTCCAGTCATATTATTTGGCTGTTACATATACTATACTAATAAATTCATAGTTCAGTAATCAATAAATCTACTATAGCTGAATTGTCAGTCTCTCAGTTATTTCAAAATGAAGACTAAGTAAAATTTTAAATCTCCTTGAGCTTGGAAAAACAATATAGTCTTTATGTCACGATAGCTTCCTATGGAACAGATAGAGTCAAATTGTTCGGTAAATTTAACCTAAAATGGTAGTGTTGTTTATTTAGCATATACGTAATTTACATACACCAAACTTACTGAGTTATACTTAGGTTTGTTAAATAGTGTTCGACCACACTACCATTTGATAAAGTACCTAAACTATTGACCCTAATTTCAGATCTAGGGGGCAGCTGTCATTCATTCATCCTTGATCAAAATTCCCGAATGTTCTGTATGAATAATAAGTGAATTTGGAAATCCAGTCTACTTCAAAAATTGTACTTTGTACTACGGGGTTATTTAAAAGCCCTAACTCATACGTAACTTTTAGTTTGACTTAGTCGATTTTCCTGCGGACTAATAACACGCTGCATTCCCACGATCATTTGTTCGTTTGACATCTACCAACAAAGTAGTCAATATATATAAAACTGCTTAAGTAACAGATTACGACCTGTAGTTATTTTACTTTGTTAATTTTGAATGGTCTTTGGGATTTCCTTATCATTTCATAACAGTTAGTCGATTATAATCAAAGTACATGCTAGTACAAATATGCCTTAGTTCTAGTTGTCGCACTACATCAATACGACGAAATAAAACCAACGTAATAAGTGGCAAAGAAGTCAAGATCATTGTAGTAGCAATGATAGTAACAAACGCTAAACATTTTGGTGTTAGAGAAGTTTGTTATTTATTCTTAAAACTTATGACATATCATGTATAATTTCATATTCTTCTAGTTCATTGTCTTTCAAAATACTTTTTTGTAGGTAAATCAACTAGCTAATTTAATTATGCAATGGGGAAACGATGTTTGTGTTGGGGGAATAGGAGCCACTTCGACAAAACAGTACATGCTACATATCGATGGGAGACAAGTTTCTTTAGACCATCTAACGCATCTGTCACCTGATGATCTCCGTATTGAATTAAAGACGCTTACCGAGAAAGATATTAGCGTTCCTGAAATACAATCCACAAAACAAATAAACACTTCCGATTTCCAGTTATCGGATTCATTCATAAAGTATTTATCAGAATATGACCTAACTTCAGATGTTGAGCCACCAGTAAAGAAAATAAAGTCATTATAATATTTTATTTAAATTAAGTTAGTATTCCTGTAAAGTTAAGCGTACTGGATGACGCTTGAATGACTCCTACTTTCTCATGTACACAATAAAATTACCATAAAATTTAAATCAGTTTTAATTGACAAAAATAAACAAAATATCAAGCTGCTATTTAAACATTTTTATCGTGTATAGTATGAGCGTAATGGACGGACATACAATTGGAGGACAACCAATTGTATTTTAGTACAAAATTACAGAGTATCTTAGTAAAATATAATAACCATACATAAAATACTTCATCTGAAAATATTCCATCAATTGTCTCAAATTTTATTGCTCTCAGTCCCCGTACTCTTCGATTCGATCTTTACAACCCGCTGCCAGGCATTCCACTTTTGACTGGCGTTATATACTACTTACGTCGCATACACCGCATAAGCACTAAATTTTATTTCCGAAAATAAAGATACTAACCAACAGTAAACCATAAAATCCTGAAAACCAACCATATACTCTTCTATAACTATCCAAATTCACTATAAATCTATTTATTTTACTCTTCTGCTTGTAATCCTGTCCTGTAAAGTTTATACAAGATATGCTGTTTTAGAAGTAAAAACCTGAAGCAATGCGTTTATGCAAAATCCTACTATCCAAGTAACTTTGGAATACTAGCAGATGGGATCTGAGAAGCAACTCCTTTCAATTTATATTGGTACTGTGATAACGCCCTGACACATTCTTCAGTTATGAGCAAAGATGGATGGTGGCTAGCAGTGGAATCCAGTTTGACGCGCGTTTCGTCCTATTTGCGACTCATCACTTTGATGCACCTGTATGCCAGATTTGATGTTCACTCATGGACTCTAACCCAGTATCGTTTGCTACAAATGCTATCGCGTTATTCACTTAGCACAAGCTAGTGCCTATCTGGATTCAGTAGCTAAGTGGATAACACGATGGTGTTGGAAGTGAAGGGTAATGAATCTCAGTCCCGGAGTTAATGTCGACTCCGATATGCAGACACATCCAACTGACGAGTCCCAGGTAAGAAAAGACGCACGTCCTGGATTCAACCGCTAGCCATCATTCATTCTTGCTTATAATACTTATGACCTAAGGTAATATCGAGGCAATTCGCACAGGAAGCACATATGCTAATAAGAGATTGTTCAATTAAAGATCTAAACATTAACGGAATGATTCAATCAAATAATACGAAAATAAATACATCGTTCATCTATTAAAAGAGGTGGTTTTTGCTTTGTCCGCTTCTACCAACAGTAATTAGCAAAGACATTACTTCAAAGATGATAGATAATAGTTTTCGCAAATACTTTGATTTATCTTTTAGGGTTACCGCTAATGATCACTTATTAAGTCTCTACATGTCATTTAATTCGTGAGACTGTCTAATGGAGGTAACGACTCTTGCTTACGTGGATATGTTCATATACATTATCTGGTTCGATGAACTTGCCTGTAGGAGCGACGATATCATTTCATTTTCGACACTTCAAATAGGTCTCCGCCTACTGTGGAACGTCGCGATTCATATGTAGCTACACGTATATACCACTTACAAACGTAAATCGCGCGAATACCGGAATGTGAAAGGCCTTGTGGCTTGTCGAACATGGTTCTTAATGATCGTGGTACGGAGATGTAAATGATCATCAGCTGTTGCTCTGTTCACGACCAAATAGTCAATATGTACATAAAAGGGCGAATCTTGAACTATCTGTTCAATAAAGCGAGATGCTTCTGCACAAGAATTTAGTCCGCAAACATTTGATTGTTGGTACGTGGTAGTCAGCGGACGGCCAAATCCCCCATCCTTCCAAAGAATCATATCCAACGGAGAGGACTTGGACTGCAAAATGGCCCAGTTTCAGCAATTTACCAAATCCATCTTTTGCAGTTTATAGTCTTTTAGATTGCAATCGACGTGATATTACGGCAACTGGTAGACTATACGTTAATGTGATGCAGAATGGAATGCCTCATTGCAGTCTCCGTGGGTTTTGGTGATGCAGATTCTGAAAGTAGCTTGGTATAGATGCAACTAGGCTTTGTTGTTACTAATAGATTCATGGATTGTAAGTCGGTCAATCTGTTATGTTTATGGTCTATAAATCGATAAAGCTTGGTTTCTTCCAATATCACTGTCGCGGAAAATTAATTTGTTGTATATCATGCAGTTGTAGCCGTCGATTACCTCATTGATAAGACAACGACGATTGGTGACAGCAGTGCAAACATTGATAGTTTAGCTGAGAACACTGGTCGCATAAACAAAAAGAGTCATCATCTGGCCTTAACATTAATCAGATAAAACAAATGAAGAATACGATATTAGATTTTGGGCTAAGTACTAAGTTTGGTTCCTACACATATACTATATCTCAGTTTCATAAATATCAATTATGAACTTCACGTAGAAACCATCACAACTTTTATGGTTGTCATCAGTATTGAAGTACATCTTCAAAAATCAATATGACCTTCCAAACTAATTGAATGCTATGTATCAACACCAAAGCCTGAATAGTGAACGTTGGATAGTCTCACGTCAAATGTAAAAAGAATTAACATAAGTCGGGTAATAAAACATTCTTGCATGATTTATGAACCCACGAATTGATTTAATGAACAAGTGTGCAGTAATGTCCGTGCTTGTAATCCTAAATTTCCAAAACAAAAAGCACATCTGACTTTGGATGTGCTGTTTTCCTATCATTTCATAAACATAAAGTTGTTGACTGAGTATATGTTTGGTTTTGGACACCAACTTGTATCGCCAAAGCTTTTGACACTGGACTAAAACATATTAAAAACAATTCGCTAGTCATTCACTCAATTTATTTACCGAGTACATTTTGGCTTCGAGCCACAATTCTAGGGTGAGGATTAATGACATTACTCGGTTACCCAAACCGAAGTTAGTGAGACGGGGTTCGGGCCTGCGACTTACTAGCTGAAAGTCAAGCGCCGTAACTACCAACTAATTGATTAGACAGTACGGAGATATTGGAATATCTTAAGAACTACCTCAATAGATATGAAGTTTGATAACCACTATTTACAACCAATTATCCGAATCAATGAATGACAGTTACATAAGAATAGGGTTAACACGATGTTTATATACACAAAATATTGAAGGAATTTAAACAAAATTACATTATAAACGAGGTTTAATTTTTGTTGAACGTTGGTTATCACCTAAGATTTTCGTCAGGTCATCGTAACTGAGAACTTCGTTCTTTAATAGAGCATCAATAAGTGCTAACAGGCTGTCCTTATTTTCTTCTAACATTTTTACAGAACGTGAAAATGCTGAAGTTACAAGTTGATTGGCTTCTATTTCCATGATGGCTTCCGTTTTTTGACAGAACGGTTTCACAGAGGACAGTTCACCAGATGACTCCTAAAATGTAAATAAAAATGATTACTGAGCAATAATAAATGCGCAAGAACACGAAAGTCAACCCAACATTGGTCTATAGTTTCAGACAGACTGACAACTTGACTTAAATAACTTTGATAACTAATTTCAATCCACTGTCTAGGACGGCGATTGTGTCAATAGAAAAATTGTCAGATAAGTCTTATTTACTCTAAGCCATAATTACAATCTAAACAGATAGCCTAACACAAATGATAAACGGCGAGCTTCATTATGATCTATTTAAATCCAAGTATCGGATAAAAGAGGTGGGCCTGAATAAAAACAAACTCGTTCACTGTAGTATTTGTACGAAGTGACGATTCCTTTGTACTTGATTACCCGCTAATTACAAATATAATACGTTGATTGTGCTCATATAATTCTGTCTGCCTTAAACTGCACTATTTAGGGAATTCTTAGTACATTAATCCGAATACTTTTAATTATCATATTGGCGTCGCGATGGAGTCAAATTTTGGACAGTTGCATACCACCTCAAATAAGGATGACTTTGAGGGCCATATATAGCGTTTCGAGATCTGGTGCATGACTAGAAAACGTATTAAAGATGATAAATTCACAGCTTAATTCCTGACGTTCTTGGGAAAAGAAGATTATAAAATGCTGAGTAATCTGACTTCTCCGCAAAAACTAATTTCATTGTCGTATGAATCTCTCAAAGAATTATTACATAGTCATGTGCAGTGTACTATCTATAAATGTAGAGATATTGAAGTTTTAAAAAATGATCGGAAAGTTAAGGTCTTATACTTCAACTGTAGAAACAGGCCGCGAAGCGCAATTTCGCAGACTGATCGGAAACTCAATTTCGTGATCAGTTGGTTGCTAGTATAAATGTTCTGAATAAAAGAAGGGAATTAATTTAGTAGCGCAAAACGTTCATTCCAAAAAGTCTAAACAGTGAAAGAGGTTAATTTGCGATCAGTGGAAATTTCTAGTACTTTGCTTAATCATCGTGATGAACTATATTATCAGCATCACTCAAACTCGTATTTACTTAATAATGGTTCCCATTCTCATGAAAATATGAAAAGTGATTTAAAAACGAATTACAAAGCAGATGAGCACATGTTTGTTAAATGTCACTTAAGTAATCCATGTGTCTTTCGTCATACCAAATGCTTTGTGTGCTAAAATGGGACACATCATGTCGGTCTGTAAAGCTACTGTTCACTTTGCCACTGATGATGATAAACCCTATAATTCTGATTTTATTAAGTTGAGTTGATTTCGAAAGGTAATGTCCATATTCAGAAAACTTTATATACATCACTTGGTTCATTTCATGACTTTAGTGCTGACACAGGTAGTAATGAGTTCAATATTTCATTCAAAAACTTTAAAATTTTAGATTCTGACGTTGTGGTATGACCCACTGAAGTCTCAGTATTGGGAAATACTGAATAAAAACTGCCCATACGAGGATGTGTGAATTGCTAATTACAGATGATAATTCTTCATACATACCTTGTGAGTTTTTAATTAGTGAAACAGGACCCTCATTACTTGGTTTGAAAAATTTGAAAAGGCTTAAAATGGAGTTCTTTATTAGTTTCTAAAGAAGATTCTACTGATTTACTTAAAGATCTAATAGCTGCGTGTGCTAAGTGCAGTGGAAGGATGAGGATTTAGTACATAGAACTTCAAGTACACGGTGATCCAGTTTGTCTTAAAATACGAATAATTCTTTATCGTCTTTGAGAAGTGGTACTTAAGACATTGAATTATTCGTACCACTATAATATGTGGTGACTATTGATTTACACTGAACTCCCGTTTGTTGAAGCAAACATGCACAACGGTGAAAGCTGAAAATATTCTTAATCGGCTTCATAGTTTTAAAGTATTCTTGAAAGTTAACTTAAAAGATGCTTATTTTCAAATCCCTTTCGATCAATCTTCATCTACTTTGACAACAACTTATAACCCTTTTCGTCTGTTCAAATACAACTTCCTTCCATTTGGTCTGAGTTGTTCTCCAACCATGTTTCAGGAATTGATGAATAATGAAGTTAGTGACATTGAAGGTGTTGAACTATATCAAGATGACCTGATTGCTCATGATTCTGAAGAAGTGGTTCATGACCAGAGACACATTGCTTTATTGCATCGTTTAATTGAGTATCCAGTTCCGAATGTCTTGAATATCTAGTTGATGGCAATGGTTTTAGACCAGATATGAAAAGACTAGCTACAGTGACAAATACAGCGTCTCAAAAAAAACTTACGGAACTACACTCACTGGTGGGTGCTCTTTAATAATATTCCCGTTTTATTCCTAATTTTTCTTGTCGTGCTAATTATTTATTTAATATTTTGACATCCAATTCATTCAAATGGGGTGAGGAACAATAGTCATGCTTACGAAGTCTACTAAAGTTTCTTAAAGTGATACTGTTCTTTGAAATTACTAACCTAGTGTACACTCTACACTTATTACTGATGCATCACCTGTGGGTATTGGCGTAGTTTTGGAGCAGGAAGGTAGACCAGTTATCTGTGTCTCATGCAAACTTACTGTTGCTGAACAAAATTATCTACAAACACACCAAGAAGCATTAGTTGTGTTTTGGGCTGTCAAAAGACTTCATAAAAATTTATTTGGAAAGAAGTTCACTATTGTTACCGATTATGAAACTTTAAAGCTTATTTATCGTCTTGAAATTCCTTAGCACGTTACTCAGCTGCTATGGTTCAACGATGAAGTATTGCCTTGAGTGCCTATGACCACACGATTCAGTACAGGAGTGCCAAACAAACTCAACACGTTGATTACAGTTCTCGACAATCATTACAAGATAGACCTGTTAATACTTAAGACTGCTTGTTAGTGCAACATTTACCGGTGAGACATCCAGATCTCATTAGTGAAACTCGTAGATGCTTTGGATATATACTCAGTGCTATTCGGAAAGGTTGTAATGCCAATCTGAAACGTAGATTTCCTGTCTATTTTTCAAAGCGGGATGAGCTATCCACTACTCCTGATGGTATTTTGTATTTAAATGACCGCGTTGTTATCCCTGATTCATTACGTAAATCTGTCCGTAAAAATCTTTATAGTGGACATTTAGGTGTTGAGAAAATTAAGTCCTTGATAAGGCCTACATGTTGGTGACAGGAAATAAATGCAAATATATGTCGTACATCAAACAATTGTGGAAAATGTCAGTCACTACCTGGTTGAATGGCATAGAGTACAAGCATCTGTTCACAGCTCCCAGACACCCTTGTTCTAATGGTCAAGCGGAAAATTTTGTCAGGATATTGAAAACTGATGTTGACTCTTTTACGGTTTCAACATTTAATGAACTGGAGAGGGGAGTAGATACTTTTCTACTGCAATATAGAAGTGCTAAACATTCTGTGACGAAAGAAACTCCATCAAAGCTAATAAAAGGAAGAATTCTTCGTTCGAATATGAGGTGTTTAGAGTCTGCAGAAGTTACATGTTATCGTGGAAATGATCTTCGACTAGCCACTGGAATCGTGGTGAATAGTGTTGGGAAATCTGAGTCAAATTCTAGATATCAAGGACTTAAGTATACACAGTGGCTAGAGATGTTATCAGATATGGCTCAGAATAGAAGCCAGTGGCGATCCTGCTGTAACCTTTTACTTTCTTCATAAAAAGTGGTTGTATCTTCCTTAACTGAAAGATTTCGTCTGGTTGTACCTTTCCGTTTCCCCCATTATTATTATTATTATTATTATTATTATTATTATTATTATTATTATTATTATTATTATTATTATTATTACAGTTCCTTACACTAATCTGGTCGTTATTGTTCTTTTCTTTTTCTTTTACGCTACTTACCTTCTTTTTTTTCTCCCTATTCTCATTGTTTTGTGTGGCGCATATATATTTGGTGCCCTCTTGCACCAATATTTATATGTTCAAATAAATAATAAATAAGTATACACAAGTGACATGTATATCAAATACAATTTCAGGAACCAGGTGAGTTTGTTCCAATTGGAGCTGTTAATTCTAATACTAATGAGGCCATTCTAGATCATAAAAAACTTACATTCAATACACAGTCTGACAGACATACAATGAGCTTAAGGAGAAGTACAATCGATCATAGAAATTTAGATTCCCACTCACGCTACGGTGGATGTGGTATTTGTACTTGATTACGAATCATAAAAAAATAATACGTTCATTTGTGCTCATATAGTTATACCTGCTTTAAATTGTACTGTTTCTGGGATTCCTAGTTAGTACATTAATCCGAATGCTTCTAATCATCATAATCAGAGAATACGATTTACAGTATCTGGAAATGCTTGAAACTAATTAATTATAAAACTTGTACATGGTTGCATATAAGCTGCAACCCATCGGCGCATACGGTTCAAATAATAACATGATACCTGTTCCTTTTGTAACTACTTCTGAGTATCCTAACCCAACATCATGTATATGAACAGCACAGGGATAGATTTAGTGCAACGTTGACACTAGTGAGGTCATAGTTCAGTACAACAGGTATCTCACGTAAACCCGAAAAACTATAAACAGATACGTGAAAAGTGTATTACCATTAGGTCATTGGGAATTTCAACATTTTTTTATGTAATATACGATTTAATAGTGTTGTCCAGATCTATTTGTTGTTCGATCAGCACCAAGCTGTGAAATTTTAAGGAGAGAAGCTTTAACTTCAAGTGCGCCATTACAGTAACTCCGCATGGAGCCCCTTTCCGGGGGCTACTGCCGGTCCCAAGCCCGGATAAAGGAGGAGGGTTGGGCATGGGGTTAGCGACCCCATCCCGTAGAAAACTAACTCGCTAAAAAAACGCTAACCAGAAAAAATTATTCAAACCATTTTAACTCTGCCCTGGGAGTCAAGAGGTCTTCGTTTAGAAGAATTATGACGCCTCATGATGAAAGCCGAGTTTCTTCGGAAGTCACGAGGCCGATGCCCCTTCTGACAACCAGAGCAACCATTTATTTAGGTACATGGAATGCTCGCACAATGTGGGAGACTGGGAGAGTTTTCCAAATTGCTGCAGAAATGAGGAGATACAATTTAGAGGTGCTTGGGATCAGTGAAACACATTGGACGCAAGTTGGACAACAACGACTAGCTTCAGGGGAGCTGCTGTTATACTCCGGACATGAACAAGAAAATGCTCCACATACACAAGGAGTTGCATTGATGCTGTCCAAACAAGCACAAAATGCACTTATAGGATGGGAATCTCATGGACCAAGGATCATCAAAGCCTCCTTCAAAACAAAGAAAGAGGGCATTACAATGAACGTCATCCAATGCTACGCGCCTACCAACGACTACAATGAAGACGCTAAAGATCAATTCTACGATAGGCTACAGTCAATCGTCGAGAAGTGCCCAACTAAAGACCTGACTATTCTGATGGGAGACCTAAATGCCAAGGTTGGAATTGACAACACCGGATATGAAGAGATCATGGGACGACACGGACTGGGAGAAAGGAACGAAAATGGTGAGAGATTTGCAAATCTATGTGCCTTCAATAAACTGGTCATAGGCGGGACTATATTCCCACATAAACGCATACACAAAACCACATGGACTTCACCGGATCACAGTACACAGAACCAAATCGACCAAATCTGCATCAACAAAAAGTTCAGGAGGACGATGGAGGACGTGAGAACAAAGAGAGGAGCTGATATAGCATCAGATCATCACTTGCTGGTCGCCAAGATAAAATTGAAACTCAAGAGGCACTGGACAACGGGGAGGACAATATCCCAAAAGTTTAATACGGCTCTTCTTCGGGATAATGACAAACTCAATAAATTCAAGATAACCCTCAGCAATAAGTTCCAAGCCTTTCATGATCTACTCAATGGAGAAGGAACTACTATGGAGAGCAACTGGAAAGAGATAAAAGAGGCAATCACTTCAACATGTCATGAGGTTCTGGGCCAAAAGAAGCACCATCACAAGGATTGGATCACGGTCGATACACTGGATAAGGTTCAAGAAAGGAGGAACAAGAAAGCAGCAATCAATACCAGTCGAACAAGAGCAGAAAAAGTCAAGGCACAGGCTGAATACACAGAAGTAAACAAGCAAGTGAAGAGGAGCATCAGAACCGACAAATGTAAATATGTGGAAGATTTGGCATTGATGGCGGAAAAGGCTGCCAGAGAAGGAAACATGAGACAACTGTATGAAACAACAAAGAAACTCTCTGGAAATCACCGTAAACCAGAACGACCAGTGAAAAGCAAGGAAGGCAAGATAATCACCAACATTGAAGAACAACGAAACAGGTGGGTAGAACACTTCAAAGAACTCTTGAATCGACCAGCCCCACTGAACCCACCCAACATCGAAGCAGCACTCACGGACCTCCCAATTGATGTTGGCGCACCGACAATTGAAGAGATCAGCATGGCTATCAGACAAATCAAGAGTGGCAAAGCAGCAGGACTAGACAGCATTCCAGCAGAGGCACTGAAAGCAGACGTAGCGGCAACTGCAAGGATACTCCACATTCTCTTCAGAAAGATCTGGGATGAGGAACAGGTACCAACAGACTGGAAAGAAGGACTTCTAGTCAAAATACCAAAGAAAGGCGATCTCAGCAACTGTGACAACTACAGGGGAATCACTCTTCTTTCAATACCAGGAAAAGTCTTCAACAGGGTATTGTTAAACAGGATGAAGGACTCCGTAGACGCCCAACTTCGAGACCAACAGGCAGGATTCCGTAAGGATAGATCGTGCACAGACCAAATCGCAACTCTACGGATCATTGTGGAACAATCAATTGAATGGAATTCATCACTCTATATCAACTTCATTGACTACGAAAAAGCATTTGATAGCGTGGACAGAACAACCCTATGGAAGCTTCTTCGACACTACGGCGTGCCTCAGAAGATAGTCAATATCATACAGAATTCCTATGATGGATTAAACTGCAAAATCGTGCATGGAGGACAGTTGACAAAGTCGTTCGAAGTAAAGACCGGTGTCAGGCAAGGTTGCTTACTCTCACCCTTTCTCTTTCTCCTGGTGATCGACTGGATCATGAAGACATCAACATCTGAAGGGAAGCACGGGATACAGTGGATGGCTAGGATGCAGCTGAACGATCTAGACTTCGCAGATGATCTGGCCCTTCTATCGCATACGCAACAACAAATGCAGGAGAAGACAATCAGTGTAGCTGCAGCCTCAGCAGCAATAGGTCTCAATATACACAAAGGGAAAAGCAAGATTCTTCGATACAACACAGCATGTACCAATCCAATCACAATTGACGGAGAAGCCTTGGAAGATGTAAAAACCTTTACATATTTGGGCAGTATCATCGATGAACACGGTGGATCTGATGCAGATGTAAAGGCACGGATTGGCAAAGCAAGAGCAGCATATCTACAACTGAAGAATATCTGGAACTCAAAACAATTAGCAACCAACACCAAAGTCAGAATTTTCAATACAAATGTCAAAACAGTTCTACTGTATGGGGCGGAAACCTGGAAAACTACGAAATCCATCGTCCAAAAGATACAGGTGTTTATTAACAGTTGTCTACGCAAAATACTTCAGATCCGCTGGCCGGACACTATAAGCAACAACCTACTATGGGAGAGAACAAATCAGATCCCAGTGGAGGAAGAAATCAGGAAGAAACGCTGGAAGTGGATAGGACACACATTGAGGAAAACACCCAACTGCGTCACAAGACAAGCCTTCATATGGAATCCTCAAGGTCGAAGGAGGAGAGGAAGACCAAAGAATACATTACGCCGGGAAATGGAGATAGATATGAGAAAAATGAACAAGAATTGGATGGAACTAGAAAAGAAGGCCCAGGACAGAGTGGGTCGGAGAATACTGGTCGGCGGCCTATGCTCCATTGGGAGTAACAGGCGTAAGTAAGTAAGTAAGCGCCATTACAGTAGATCGACCAAGTATTTTATTGAATGAAGGCTTTGACAAAACAACTATTTATTAAATCTAAGCGATAAATATAACCGAAAATCTCTCAAAACCGGCGATTTGGGAGAAAAATAAACACAGAATTCGATGTACGTTTTACGTGAACACGGTGAGAGAAACAGATAAATGAATAAGTCGCTGAGTGTTTAATGGAATTGGAAAGTATTCAAAGAATTACGTGGATTGGTTGGAACTTCAACTTTTATGTGTCTGGAATTTGTTAGGAATGAGATGCTTCCTAAAAGTCATATATGTGACAACCAGTTGTTACTTTTTTAAATACACATGTACATACACGTACAAACGTTTCACTGATGTAGAAGAGGGAATAAACAGTATTTCCTAAACATTAAGAGATGTTTACACTTTATATATTCAAGTCTTTGCTCAACTAGTGACAAACTGATTGAGGTGGTTGTTATCAGTTAGAAATGATGAACAGATATCTTAGTACAAACTAGAATAAGTTATAAACCAGATAGAAAAAGTGTTTTATCAAAGTTAGTACACTTACGTCAAAGCTGAGATTTCCAATAGTCTTAGACATTCCAAACTGACGCACTTGCTTCATTGCTAATTTATTAGCTTCCCGAAGATATTTTTGTGAAACTAAATATTGATTGAATAGAATATGAAAATGACATTTCATCGTACTTACAGATGTGAGGGAAATTTCGGAAACAAATTTAGGGCATGAAAACTAATAAGCATCCAAATTTACTAAACATCAGATATATGTGTGTACTTTGAACTATGGATGTCTTGTACTTGTGATTTTTTCCTAAATAGGTTAGAGACAGTACAGTCACACTCAAAAACAGACAAATATCATTCCCCGGTCTCCATACATTCATCTTCTATAACAAATTGCGATAAAGTGTGGATGATTGAACTCATTTGAAAAGAGATTTGTATGGTGACCATGTCTTACGACCTTAAAATCACATATTCATAGTTTCTGCTTTTCTTAAATATTGCCTCCGACTATTTATTGACAATTAATTAAAAGGTCAAAATATAGAATAAAATATTTTCCGACCGTCATAAGCAACATAAAACCTGGCACAAATGTGCATTGGCTCCGGTTTCCATACCATATCAGCACAGTGAGATGGAATTATCCGGACAAGTTCCAGAGTAATGACAGTAGTAACAATACGTAATAGTAGAAAAAATCAGGCATAGATGATATGAGTGAATTGATGAGATGGAAAAGTATAATATAACCTTGAAACTCTGAACCTAGTTAGATATAGAGAAAGAGTGAAACCATCTGTGACCGATTCTATGTTGTATCATCTAGCGTCTACAATTATTGATCATGATAGTTTTGAGGACCCCGACCAGATAGTCTATATCTACTAACGCACTAGTTCGACAGTCGATGAAACAAGCCGACATCGTTCATCGAGATAGAAGGTGGTTGAGTCTGCGTAATACAGTCGATGAAGATTCACAACATCATCAACAGATACGTCATTCTTGTCTAGTATCCGTCTGATCTCAACATTAGCCATTGAGTGGCTTCGACATATACGAGTGATGATTTGAAGATACATATAACGAAATACTATTAATCGGTGGACTTCCTATACTTCTAAATGCCACAATTCAGTACCATAAAATAAAACGGCAAACTATTGGGCAGTTTACTCGTTTCTTAGTTGTTAGGTGGGTATCTTGCCTACTCTGCAGATGATCAAAGTTTTAGGAACCTAAAAGCGCTTTCTTAATTTGTTCGTGTCTATATTTATAAAAATAGGTCTGAATTGTATCCTATTTCACCCAGATTTTCAAATCCCAGTAAATGTGAAGCGAAAACTTATCAACTTAGTCAAAATCATCAGAACATCTATAATATTGTTTATGGTGGATAAACAGAAAGTAGATCGGTAACGTAGGTAGGTATTAAAGCAATCGACTTCCAATCATCAGGTTCAAAGTTTGTATCTCGCTCGACCTATACTAGATTTTGTAGTTGTACAGTATTACCAGCAATCACATAAAACCAATAGTTTAAATGTAAAGTGCATAAATTTGTGCTTGATAACGAAGTGACTTTGATATGATGCTCAAAGACTAAGCCTAACAGTTACGTCCTAATTAATCGGAGAATGACTGACCTACAAGTAAATTTCTTCCAATTATTCAAGACATCCTATCATGTTTATTTTGCGTCAGTATTTTGTGTATAAACACGTTATTTTATTACTTTAAAAAATGTATTTGTTTAGTGGTTCTCTCTTAGATTTCTAACCATTCAGCGACTCAAATCACTTGGTTAAATCATATCATCCCATTCATTTATCGATTAGCATTTTATTCATTGACTTTGACGATCAGAAATTTCGTCTTAGCACTTACTGAACACCTACATAACAAGATCAAATAAAGTATTCTATTATGGGATTATCAATGTAACACTAAACATTATGATGTATGAATTTGACTAGTAATAGTACGTGCGTGATAAAGTTACACTGAAGCTTTGGCAAAACAAAAACTAGTGTCTAATATCCAGAGTATGAACAGATATACATTGGAAAAATGTATCCTAATGGGAAACACACAAAATGAACTAACCATCTGAAATTGCATTGTATACAACATGCTCAGCTGCTCTACCACCAAGTAATACAGACATACGATCAGCTAGATCATCAGTATTAAGTAAATATTTTTCTTCGGATATTAACTGAGTAAAACCCAGATCTCCAACAGTATCTGGACCAGAGACCGTACGCGGTATAATTGAGACTTTGACCGGTAGCACTCCACTATCTGAAAGAAGCCATGCTACAAGAGCCCTACCAGATTCATGGACAGCAGACATGTGGCGTTCAGCAACCGTAAGTGGATTTGAACGTTTTGCAGCGCCTAAACAATGAGAACAAAGTCATTATACATGAAAAAGTTATTTTATACGTAATATTCTTTATACTAAATAAACTTATTGCTATTAAAGATTGTTGCTACTAAAATCTACAGTGACAAATTTGAAACAGTATAGTGATAAGCACTACAAAGTAAACTGATTACTCGAAAATGTAAAAACAAAACTAACCAACTTATTAGCAAGAATTTAGACATTTTTCATACGAAGTAAAAAAAAAGAAACCGTTAACAATTCCGCAGAAAAAAAAGTTTAAAACAACTAAGTATTATGAATATCTACCAGCAAAAAAAAAACAACCTGCTACTATTCTTTCAAGTGCTGCTTCAAAATCAGCTTTAGTAACACCAATAACTTTATCATCTCTTCGAGCAGCAGACAAAGCAGCTTCATTGCATAGACGTGCAATATCGGCTCCAGACATTCCAGGACACCAAGCTGATAAACGTTCAACAAGCTCATTTTGTACAACATCAGGAGCAAGTTGATATTTAGCTGAAATTGAAGATAATAAGATAGAATACTAATTAAATTGATTGAATAAAAATGTAGAAAACAACATTTTAGTAGTTATTTGAATTATTACTCAACTATAAATTATCAATTTGAAGGCAAAGAGGGACCAAGTTTAACTGTTTTACCGAGTGTTGATATATTTTATAGTACAGTTTTGTGGACAAAAAGCTTTAGATATATATGCAAAGTGTGAAAGCTGTACAGTCCAAGTATAATACGATAGCATTAGATTAAATAAGATTTACTAAAATTATTTTAATTATTTTTTTAATTCACAAAACAATGAATTTTTAGGCATTGGTAAAACAGTATACTTAGGTAGCCTAAAATAATCCAAGTTATTTATATTCTGATCTTATAAATGGTACATATATACTTGAAAACTAAAAGATTTTACCAAGAATCTGAATTCTTTGTATTATTTTAATTTGAGCCAGAAACTGATCATAAATAATGTCAAAATATGATTTCCATCAATTTATTTTCATTCCCTTTTTGAAACTATCCACTGAATGGACAATAACTTTTTATTATTCAAGTTAACAGACATGTCGTTCTTTATATATTTATGTTACTTTCTGTTTTTAAAGCATTAATTACAATGGAATTTGGTTGCCAAATGAGTCATATAAAATGTGGTACCTGGTACAAATGTACATTAGCTAAAGTTCTTGTCATTCACATCAGTACAACGAGAAAATAAATTGACACCAACATCAATTTTCGTAGTGAACTAATAATCAAAAATATATGTAATGAGGAAAAAATGAAACCGGATAGTAAAACTTATGAGGGAAGTAATAACCTAAAAACTGAGCTGAAGACAGGAAATGAATGTAACGAAGTCACTGACACTGGTTTTGAGTTTTATCCTGAGAAAAAAAGCTGTATAAATCTTATTCAAAAACAGATACTAAGTGGTTTGCCCCTTAACTACACATTCAGTAACTTTATATTTATTTCAGTCATCTTATCCAACACGAAGAAAATTCGGCTGTTAATGTATAATTGACCATTCTCGTCAAAATATCTGCAACTGTTAATGATGTGGTATCCTTACATACAAATTATAAGGAATAAAATCAATAACGAATTAAGGTGAATTTAAAGTCAATTTTCCAATACATTGCTATTACATTGCCCTATGGACCGACGATGCATTTTTTACTGTGAAAGGCGATACCCTTCAGAAATCACAAAACTGATGCTCCTTCTAACAACCAGAGAAACAATTTTTATAGGTACACGGAATGTTCTAACAATTTGGAAGGCCGAGAGAACCAGTAAAATAGCTTCGGAAATGAGATACAACATGAAGGTGCTCGGAATAAGCGAAACGCATTGGATACAAGCTGGAAAAGGATAGATGAGATGCTGTCGTACTCTTTTCACAAAGAGGAAAATACTTCACACATTCAGGGAGTTATTCTGATGCCATCCAAAGAAGCACGGAAAGTACTTGTAAGATGAGAATCTCATGGACCCAGGATCATCAAAGCTTCCTCCAAAACAAAGAAGGAGGGAATAATAATGAATGTTATCCACTGTTGTGTACCCACTAATGATAGCAACGATGACGATAAAAATTAGTTTCATGGGAAGTGGCAGTCGATCATAGCGACGTATTCAGGAAAGGACCTGACCATCCTGACGGGAGATCTAAACGCCAAGGTCAGAATGGACAACACAGGATATAAGGATATCATGGGACGACATGGACTGACTGGGAGAAAGGAACGAGAATGATGAAAAATTTGCAAATTTATATGCATTCAACAAAATGGTTACAGATGAAACAATATTCCGCCACAAACACACACACAAAGCTAAATGGGTCTCACCGGATTACATTACGGAGAATCAGAAAGACGTTATTTGTATCAATAAAGAATCCAGAAGGTCAATGGAGGACGTGAGAACCAGGAGAAGAGCGGAAAAAACTTGTGAGCACCAAATAATGGTTGCCGAGATGAAACTGCATCGAAAGAAGCACTGAAAAACTGAGGAAACAGCATTACAACGGCTCAATACAACCCTCCTTCGAGATACTGATAAACTAGACGAATTCAAGATAACTCTCAACAATAGGCTCTAAGCCAAACACGATCTATTCAAGGAAGATAAAACTACAATTTAAAACAACTGAAAAAGGATCAAAGAAGCAGTAACTTTGACATGCCACGAGGTGCTGAGCCGCAGGAAGCATCATCATAAGGAATGAATCTATGTCGATACCCTGGATAAGATCCAAGAACAGACAGCACTTAACAAAAGCTGAACAACAACAGAGAAAGTCAATACACAAGCTAAATGCATAAAAGCAAACAAGCAAGTAAAGAAGAGCATTAGAGCCGACAAGCAGAAATACGTGGTATGCTTAGCAACGAGAGAGGAAAAGGATGCAAAAGAAGGAAATATGAGATAGCAATATGACACAATGAAGAAACTGGAATAGAAATATAGTAGACGAGAGAGATCGATCAAGGACAGAGAAGGTAAGCCAATAACCGAGATTCAAGAACAGAGGAACAAATGGGTGGAACACTTTGAGGAACTCTTAAATAGATCAGCTCTATTCAATCCACTTCCCATTGAAGCAGCACACACAGACCGTCCTATACATGTCACTCTACCAACGATCGAAAAATTCTGGATGGTCATCAGACAAATAAAGAATGGGAAAGCAACAGGACCTGACAATATACCAGCCAAAGCACCAAAGTCAGGCATGGAAGTAACTGCAAAGAGGGACCAGCACATCACAATTACATGTAAAAGATATTAAGACGAAACAACTTTATTACGTTTTCATAAAAAAGCGGATGTACATAAAGTCACAAAATAAATAAGTAAAACGTCCATGATCAAATATTTAACTATGATGACCACATGAAAAAATACTTTTCATGAGAGTTCTTTATTTTTTTAATTGTTGTAATTGTTACTTTTGCTAAGATAATGGGACTATTTATAAAGAAAAACATTTACACTTTTTATACGAAGGCCATTTGATATAAGTATTATTTTTTACTATACAGTCTGCTACAGAGTTACTCTGAGAAAGCTAATAAGTGGGTTTTTCTTAGTGCATGAACTGAATAATCACTCTATATAAATCTATGAAACAGTGCCGAATTTGTTTTTTATTTTCTAACTAATGAATAGTTATGTGATTGCAGAAATGTGATTACTAATTAACCGAAGTATATAGCCTAAAACATAAGATCGTCTATTGAGACTCAATCACACACTTCAATATGGGAAGTTATAAAGCACATGTTGTACCACAAAATTACATATAGCTATTGATCTAAAAAAAGAATAAAATGAAATTTAATAAACAAATCTCTTACATACCAATGTATACAGCAAATATTTCTTTACGTTCAGATAGATTTGGTAAATTAATAAAAATATGTCTGTCAAACCGTCCTGCACGCAACAGAGCTTTATCTAACAAGTCAGCTCGATTTGTCGCTCCAAATACAATAACACCTTCAGTAGTATCCATTCCATCCATTTCTACAAGCAGTTGATTCAGCGTCTGTTCCATTTCAGAAACACCACCACCACCCCCTCTACAAGAAATACAAACAAAGTTTATACGTCACATGCAAGCGATGAAAAGAAATTTACTATAGTGAACTGGATCTGCTACACTTGGACCAGCAGTATTAATACCATAACTAAAGGATTTGTTATCAAAACCCTAATTGGTTACGCAGATTCTCTCGTCCCCAAGACTTAATCAGAACGTGAGAGAGAATAAGAAAACCGAAGTGATATTTCTACCTACGACACAAAAATTCATAGGACTAAACTCATGAGCCATATGATTATGATGCGTCATAAATCAAAAATTAAAATCTGTTCTAAACTAGGACATTTAGGATACAAAATTGGAATAATGGGCTTATAATCAACTTACAATGATCTTAAAACAGAAAAGGATACGAAAACAGTTAATGAATCGAATAAAGGTTTGCAATTTGAGGCATATAAAAACCCCATGAACTAAGTGTTGGTGGTTACATAATAAGAAATAAAAGTAATGAATCATTTTTAAGGATTTTATAGACAAAAAAGGTGTATTAACATAAACAATTAAGATACGAATAACAGAAGGAAAGTAAAGAACGATGAATAATATGCTCAGTATTAAAAACAAAGCAAGTATCAAATAAACTTGTATCATACTCTCAATGGACATAAGTTGTGTAGATTAGATTTTTTACTATTTGATTATATTATCTCAACACCCTTACATAAATAGTCTAAACCTAACTATATAACCCAAAACAAAGGACAGTAACATCATGAACTGGCGGAAACAATGGTTTCCACTTTCCTTAAATTCTTCACCGTACCCTAGTTATCATGAAAGATACCTCCAGATAATTTACTACCGTAAAAGTCACAGATTGAATTCATAATTCAACGACTTCATGATCTATTCAAAGTTTAGAGAGAAAGAAAAAATACCACTTCATTCATACATACATGATTGTTTCTCACTATCACCCTATCGTTAAATGGAGAATTTCTAAATAATGTTCATTATGAGAGGACAAAAAAGGTAAAAAGTAAACTGAGCTGGACATGCGTTTATATCTAGTTCACAACTTCCTTAAAGTATTCACATACGACTTTCTTACCATTACCCTTTTTGAACATATGCTGATAAATAGAATAGATAAAATATGGCTGGTAGTAGAATCCGGGACGGGCGTTTCGTTTTATTTGGGACTTATAAGCTTGGTGTACCTGCAAACGCAGACTATTTCAAATAGAATATCAAACTGGGTTACAACACATAAAAATGTTTGTCAAATGCTTATCCACGAAAAGTTTAAAAAGGTACTTAAAACTGGTAACACAATAATTACCAGTATAGGGGCTGTGAAGATTATTAAGTTTCCAGGTTTCCAACGGTGGTCTAACATCAATTGGTTCATGATCTCAATCAAAAACACGACAGTTATTTATATATTCAATATTATAGATATTCCAACAAGTGTCCCAGTAGTGAGCAAGTAAAATAAATTTATGAAGATAAGTTCTTACACGCCATCATGAAAACCAAATACGTACCCACACAACATAAATTTACTATTATTATTACCATTATTATTACTATTATTATTGTTATTATTATCACTGATTACCTCTGATCCCCAGAATCACGACGTCGACCAAGGGAATCAAGCTCATCTATGAATATTATAGCTGGTGAATGAGAACGAGCTACTTTGAAAAGCTGTCGTAATCGAAGAGCACCAAGTCCACCGACAACTTCTACAAATTGTGGTCCAGCCATTGAAAAGAAAGGTACTTCCGCTTCATTGGCCAATGCTTTAACCTAAATGGTAAAGTATTTCAGTTTATAGCTAATTAACATTAACAATAAAATTCATCTTTAATTTTTTCACAATATATTGCTAAGGCTTGAGATAAGACAATAATGCATTGGATCAAAAAGAGGATTGGTAGAAAAAATCGATTGAATGAATTGATCATATTTGCACTGGTAATTTACACCATACAACACCCACAGATAACAAGAAAGAGACATCCTTTAAATAATTAATAATTTAAGAGTAATCTGAAGATTATACCGCTGACAAAAAAGGAAGTTTCCCACTGAAAATTTGTGAGCAGAAATAGATAGAATGGAAGATATGTACTAAATTTTTATTTTATGTTTTTAAATTCAAAAATGATGAATGCAATAAATCCTATAACATGGTTATGAAATTCTCAGAAATATTAAATTCACCATATAACAATATTACATTTATACACCTAATAAAGGTATTTTAAAAAATAAAATTATTTCACATATATTTTAAACTTAATGGAACAACTGAAGAATGTTATAAGAACATTTTATCAAATTAAAAAAAACGGAATATAACACATACAAGCAAAGTTTTTCCGGTTCCCGGTGGACCAAGTAGAAGTGCCCCCTTTGGTAACTTAGCACCTAACGCTTGATACTTTTGTGGATTTTTTAGATAAGAAACAAACTCCATAACCTCTTGTTTACATGCATGAAGACCAGCGACGTCCTAAAAGTTACGAAAAAAGTGAAAATAAAATTCCAAGAACTAAATATATCATTACGATAATAAAGCTGCAAAACCCTATATATATATATATATATATATATATATATATATATATATATATATATATATATATATATAGAGAGAGAGAGAGAGAGAGATGATCGAAAATTAATTTAAGAAAAATTTTTTGCTCTATTTGTTCTTCTTGCTAAATTTGGAAATGATAGTTTTTCAATATACTGGAATACATAGCCATCACCAAGGCTACGGAGGACCACATAAAATTAGATCAACATTATGGTATTTCGATTATCCCGTGATTATAAACGTCCAAATAATGACTTACCGCTCCCAAATATAGTTTTTGACTAGTCGGCATGTTGTTAATGATGCGCATTTTCCTGAGTTATGTCTGTTCATAAGTCATCGTCAAAAAAATATTTAAGCTATATATTATAGAGGCTATTAATGCCATTATCATAGTATTTGTTAAACAAGTCAAAAAAACAATGTTATTGCGACAAAGCTAGTGTTTTATTTAAAATTTCGCAAATGTATCAACCATCTTGCTACTCATCTGTATGTAAACATTGTTGAGTATCGTTATTGTCTCTGTATACATATGTATCGAATTCAGACGACAGCTTCACATGACCTATCATGTAGCTGGAAGTGCATCTGGTGATTAAGTACAGTTCATTAGAAAATCTCACTTGGTAACAGTGTTGCCCCAAGAGCTAATCTCCTCCCAAACACCATATATGTAATTTTTCTAGAAAGACTAGCACCCTTTCCGTCGTAATTAGAAATCGATAGCATAATTAAACAAGTATAACAACAATGTGTATTCATACTAATATCTTACTTCACTTGAAATCACTTGTCGCTAAAATTTTCAACAGTATAACAATTCCCATCAGTTTTCACTCATCTAATAAACTGTACTACTACTAAAAATGTCACGCCTCCGCAGGTAAGGCCTTTGAAGAACGGAGCTAACACGTAAAAACCTCCCACAAAAAGGCCGTGCGCGACCGGACTCAAGCAGTTGTCCCTTGGGCTCTGAAGTCAACGCTCCCAGGTCTTCAAGACCAACACTAATCCGATTTCCTTTCCAGGTTCCTCAAGAAACACCCTTTCACAGTGTGGGCAGCCGGGAAGTGATATCAGCCCTCATACTCGTAACAACGCAAGAGACCGAGTTGGTCACATTCAAATCCTTCCTACACCTCCTAATAACTCTCTTATTTCCGCGACTAACTCTTCTCATGTCCCTTTATCACCTAGCACCGTTACGGCAAACGATTCGAGTACGCGGAACGTTATTCCTGGTCTCTTGAAACTACGCTCTAAACTACATGTAGGAGCTATTAACGTCCGAACACTGTGCCAAATAGGACAACAGGCTTCCTTAGCTAGGACTTTAGAATCTCGCGCCATCGATGTGTGCTGCGTCTCCGAAACGCGCATACAGGATCCAAGTAATGTCATTCATCTGTCCTCACCATTTCAAAACAAAGAACCAACTCGATTCACACTTCGTTTATCTGGAAGCCCTGATGCTGCTTCCCGTGGCCTCGCTAGCGTAGGTAAAGCGTTGAGTCCTAGGGCAGAACTAGCTCTCTTAGACCGGATCCCAGTAGACAGTCGTTTGTGCACTGTCCGACTAAACGGAACAGTAAGGACTCGGAAAGATAAAAACACTCGTCGTTGCTTCTTCGTCGTCTCTGCCTGCTCTCTCACTAACTGCAGCTCAGATGATGTAAAAGATGAGTTTCACGGAAAACCTTCAGACCTTCTCCGAAAAGCTAGGCGCTCTGATGTAGTAAAAGTGGCTGGTGACTTTAATGCTTAAGTAGGTAAACTAGGTGAAAGGGAAAGACACCTGGGTGGATCTGACGGTGTTGTGGTCCAAAGAACAGATAATGGAGACCGTCTGTTGCAGCTATGCTCAGATACCCACCCGTTTCTTGAAAACACTAACTTAAGCATAGGAAAAAAATCTTTCGATATGGCGACCCCCGAATTCGTCCCAACGTTGGACCCAAATAGATCACATCGCTATCAGCCACCGATGGAGGGGCTCGAAAGATGACTGTCGCTCGTTCTGAAGCCCATGCTTAGATTCAGATCATGCTCTAGTGCGAGCGCATATTTGTTTGCGTCTTACTGGACGTAGGAAAGATGGTGCAAGGAAACTCCTTAGGATCCTACTTAATTATAGTAAAGTTAAGAATTAGAAAAACAGTTAGGCAGTCATGTATATGATGCCTACCCCGAGGCAGCGTGGAATGACATCCGAAAAGCTGTGGAAACAGCAGTGATATCTGCTAGTAAGGTAAATCATAAGGTTAGGGAGAAACATTAGATCTCAGCAGCATCTACCGCACTAATAGATGCTCGAAAACTCATCCCCTGACCGTTGTTACTACCTTGACGTGGTGGTCGGGCTTGCCTATCGTGATGAAGCAACTGAGCTATACTGGCTGGAACAACCGTTCCTCAAGGTCCTACCATGCTAATTCTTTTTTCCTGTACTATCTCCTTATACACAATCTTTCTTCTATATATTACCACCACTGAATTAACTACTCCTATGAATCCGGTGTTCATCTTGTTGTGCTAATGCGGTATGGCAACTTGGACCGATCTCCAATCTACCTGGCAAGTTAATGTAAATCCTCCGACTCTTTACGAAGTTGAAGAAGCTATAGGAAATCTGAAGCAAGGGAGAACAGCAGGCCCTGACAGGTTTACCGCTGAGATTTTCAAGGATGGCGGTCCAGTATTAGCAGCGAAATTGACTGAGGTCTTAGTTAGAATCTGGGTTTATTATTTATTTGAACACATAAACATTGGTACAAGGGGGCACCACCACATGATAGGTCTTGTGACAATCACAGAGGAATCAGTTTAACTAACATAGTGTCTAAAATATTAGCTTCAATAATTCTTCGACGCCTAACCAAAGCTCGTGAAGAGCAGACTAGAGAAAACCAGGCTGGTTTTTGACCTGGACGTGGTTGTATAGACCAGATATTCACACTACGTCAGCTCCTAGAACATAGACACACATTCAGATGCCCCACAATCGTAGTATTCCTCGACCTTAAGGCGGCATTTGACTCTGTAGATCGTGAGGTTCTATGGCAGTGTTTGTCACTGAAAGGAGTACCAAAGAAGTACATTAACCTTATAAAGGCTATCTACTCGAACACAACTGGTCGAGTGAGAGATTATTGCGAACAGTCATCAGAACTGATTAACTCAAGTGGTGTTCGTCAGGACTGTCTACTCTCTCCATTCTTGTTTAACTTTGTCGTTGACGTGCTTTTAGAGATAACGTTTCCCTCATCTAGATTTCCAAGGGTGGGACTTTTACCGGGAGATTCACTTATTGACTTAGAATATGCCGATGACATAGTTCTATTTGGTGAAGACGCTGACAAAATGCAGTCTTCTGACCATTCTAAGCAACAATGCAAGCATGTTCGGGATGCGATTCTTTCCCTCGAAATGCAAAATGTTACTTCAGGATTGGGTGGAATCGACACCTGAACTAATGATAGGGAGTGAAGTAGTTGAGCGTGTCAACCGCTTCACTCATCTTGGAAATCTCATCAGCCCTTGCGGTTTGATGTGTGACGAAATCTCAGCACGGATACAGAAGACTCGACTAGCTTTTGCCAACTTGCGTCATTTGTGGTGTAGGCGAGATATCCGTCTACTAACCAAAGGACGTGTTCACTGCGCAGTAGTGAGTTCCGTCCTACTTTATGGCAGTGAAACATGGCCGGCAAGAGTAGAGGATATTCGTAGGTTACTAGTATTCGATCATAGGTGTATTTGAAGCATTGCTCGTATATCGTGAGACTACTGAGTAAGTAACGTAGTTGTTAGGAGATGTGATACTAGGTAAAGATGGCAAATTAATTGATGAAGTAGTGAAACTTCAGTTGAGATGGCTGGGATACGTGTTACGTATGCCCAACCATCGACTGCCCCGACGTGCGATGTTTTATGGTGTAGGAGCAGGCTGGAAGAGTTAGGGATGGCCAGACCAAAACATGGTACGAATCCATGAAGTCACTGACAAGTGGACTGAGTCATGTTGGTAGATGTAGACTATCTGGTTTGGATCCGCGAGACGACAGCAACCGATGGTTAGAGATGTTGAATGACATGACTCAAAATCGTTTGCAATGGCGCAGGTGCATCCACTCTTTGTGTTCTCCCAAATTCTAATCTTCTGAATTCTTCATGTCCCTTATTTTTTCTCTTTCCAAATTTATTTCACTGGATTATACACCTTGAATAACATCTTCAAACCTTAATGTTTCCGATTACTGCTTGTACTCTTACTACCTCTACCACTACGGGATTTGAATCGACAACTGCATCTCTGTGCTAATGTGATATGGCAACTCGAACTGACGTACGTACGTATGAAGTTCTATGTTGTTTCTGGCTGACTGACTACTACTTATCCCCAGTTCCCGACTAGTTTCTCGCCATTCAGAGTGCTGAAAGTCACCTTTCAAAGACCAATGTGGGTGTATATCTACAAGTAGAACTTGACCATACTATTACGCGGAGGAAGCACAAACATAAGTGGATTACAAAAGACTAGACATAAGAATTTACTTGATTCCCATGTCCTGTAAACTGTTAGGTCACTTTTTTATTCTAAGTAAACATCATGTTGTAGCATCTACGAACAAGGCAAATTGAATACTTGATTCACACTTGTATAAAGAGCCTAATACGTACGGAATCTGTTAAACCACTAGATCCCTCTAACTAAAGGATTGGAGTGAATGGGATTTAATTAGTCGACAAATGTTTATAAAGTGAACTACAACAAGACAATAAACGGTAACAAGATGTCATACTTGACCTGAATAAATGTGTTTAGCAAAATGTTTCATGTCAAGAAAATCAATTTAAAAAAACACTAAACAGACGATGCTTAGCAATCAGATGAAAAACAATTATTGACACTTACTACGCTACCCATCACCTGGCTCCGTATAATTAATAAAGGACAAGTGAAGAATTAAAATAAAATGTAAAACTGAGAAAATAAGGCTATCTGATTACAAATAACACAAGCAACTGAATTATTCAAGCCATATAGGTCATGTGATGGCCAAAAAAAAGTGAAAACTAAGAATAAAATATACCTTGAATTTTACGGTGGATGTTGTAGGTCTAATTGTATTGAAACCAGTAATAGGATCCCATTGAAAGGGTGGACGAAAAGAAAATCGGTCGTTTTCAGAATCAAAACTTGAACCAGATGTCTTTGATGGCTTAGGGTCATCATGATACCTTGAGATATCTATGGACTTCCCCAAAATACCTCTATTCGCTGCTTTTTCTAAGTTCTTTTTTTGAGACAAGATTCTCCTCATTGAAAATGTGAACAATCCACAAGATATAAATAGAAGACCAGTACACAATTTCGAATTCCATCTTTGCATGAACGTGTTCAAAGGTCTGAGAATAAGTTTGAAAACGCAGAAAAGGATTTTTAAGAAGCTTGGTATTTATATGAAAGTGGTTCGTGAGTGTACAACAAAAATATCCAACGATAAAATGAATACTTAGATTCTATTTAGATTATTTCAAGACCGATTGGTGGTTGCAATTAGGCACTTTGTAATATGATTTGAATTTCAAGAAACAGTATTTTCAGTATGTACAGGATTGTGATGACATGAAAATGTGACCTCGTCAAATTTTAGGAATGTTTTTATACACTCGTTACTACGATTTTCTACAGTCACGTCATCATCTGCGGGTTACTGGTCAGTTATTGCACTTCAACTAGACATGACCAAATCAGTACTAATCAGCACCAATTCTGGGCATATTACATTCAAACAACAACCAGAACCAGTACAAAAATAAAACAAGTATCTATATAAAAATCGAGTAGGTAACTTTTAGCATACATAAAGTTAACTGATGAAACAAACAACTACATGGGCACGTTCACAAGCTTAGATTGGATCTGTCAGATTACTTAGATCATTTTGTCTATGAAAGTATGAAGCTTATTCGTTATGGGTATACCTTCCTAACATTGACCGCACCTAATAACATCACAAGATGTGTCATATAAAATGTAAGACGCTATTCAAGGTCAATGCGCATCAACGGATACTTTCCTCTATACAGTGGTGAGTATCATAAATCTACAACTAACTCGCTATTTTAAATTAATGTTTATATTTTATTATGAATATTTGATTGAGTAATTTCGTAAGTCCTGAAACAATAAGCATAAATAAAGTCATATATAAACATTCACTTGGTTGGCAAACCATATACTTTTAAAATCGTCACAAATTTACTTACAAGTCAGACATCTGGACTGGGATACGATCATGTTCTTCAATGCCCCACGTATCCTCTAGGGATCGTAAATTTTTTACAAATTCATTTACAGATATTGAGTGCTTCAGAATCAACTATGGAAAATTTTGGATGATAATTAATGAGTGAGAGTATAGTAAAGTAGGGAAGAAATATCTTAAAAATGTCTAGGAGTTTTCAAGTAACAAACATTTTCCTAACTCGTTAGCATAGAAAACTTATAGAAATAATTAAGACTATGTGGATAAGATCAACACAAATCAAGTTGAATATGTAGTAATTGTGCTCTAATCCTCTAACTCTTTTTAGATAGAAACTCATAATAAGAATCAATTAGTCAATTTCACTGATAACAGGAATCAAAAGCACAGATTCTGTTAATTTAGACTACCTGTGGCTTAGAATGAGACCTTGTATATAAGTATAAGATAAAAGCGAAAGGTGACCTACGAAAGCCGATAACCACAGTATGTTTTGGAATGGGGAGAATTCTAAAGTCTACTGTCACCCGACATATAAATATAGGACACTTCAACCTAAACTCCAGTATTGCTTACAGAAGACAACTATGACTTGGGACTGAAGTTACTCAAGTTTGACACGATCGAAGTACCTTGAGTCAGTTACTTTGTACGAGATTACTGATGAACTTAAGTTTTATACTTAAACTAGAAAGGGCAAAAATAAACGAAAAACCCGTGACTTGTTAGGATTGGTTATCCCAAGCTTGGTACAAAAAGTGGAGTAAATTTTTCTGACCCATCGAGATATTCGCTATTCAGGAACTTAAACGCTGTAAAATAAAAATTCTTCACCTCCTTTTGGTGCTTATGGCATTCATGTTAGATAAAATATTAGCTTACAGGCAGTTGACCTTGTTGATAAGTGAGAATGTATACATCACCGGAAGAAGTTATTTGTATCCTTTGAACTTCACCTTTTTCCAACATGGATACGAGCATTCCGAAAGTTACTTGAGGTATATGGGGTACATTAGCAATTAACCACCACGCAATTAACAAGAGGGCGAATGAAGCACCACCCGCAGCTAATGCATAAATGTCAATATTGTCTGGGTTGTTCTGAGAATGATCATCACTCTGATGGCCACTGGAATAATCTGCCGATTCACATTATTGAAATGAGCGTTTTACTTACTGGCATTTGTAGATCCCCATTTCCACTTAGATCTTGACTTAAACTACATAATAAAACAATATGAGGAAATATATACCAGACGTGCTGAATATTGCCCCACACGATTAATTAGCGGAAATGTAGAGCAACATATTCTAGGAGCGGATGCTCCAGCGAGGTGCCTCAGACTGCCAAGACGAAGCAGCTGATTCATTGTGACCCTACATTCAAAAGTCCGCTGAACAAGGTAGTCCAAATGACTATGGTCCCATAGTATGGATAGCAATCATGCTATTAACATCCAAAGCATTCACCTTCTATGAAGAAAAACAAGGTTTTGGATGTTCCTGGACACCTAAAACAGACCAACATAAAGTTACTTCAAATATCCACTATTTCTGCGGATTTGTTCCGATGACCTATACGCAATTAGACACCTCTTTCATACTTTCAGCAGCATAGCACTCCACGAATGTCAAGACCACCCAACTGAACAGAAATAGAGGGCAAGCAATCAACACAGTGGAGTGAAGGAACAACAAGCCAAAAAAGCATATGTACCGCACGCCTTTCGAACGGGAAGTTTAGTCCTAACGTGGTTTGCATTTCTCAAACTTTCGCTGTGTTCTTACGTAACAAAAATACCATTTCTGATCTAAACAATCTATCCTAAGCTATAAGTTCGGTAGATTACTTTTTTCAGTTTCACCCAATTTAATAGTTAGCTGTGGTTTCGCCTCAGCTTACTATTCGGTTTTTTCTTCAGTTTTTCACGTATAGGCTAGTTCATTTTATCTCATCCGTTTTATACATTTTTCCCGTTTTTAGTGTGTTCTCTAGTATATTTTTAACGCTCTTAAGCTTTTGATACTATCTTTAACATTGTTTACGTCAATACAGCCATGAAAAATTCATGCAAACGACCCGGACGCCGTTTTGCTGTTACATCTGACATGCAGTGCGACAACTGCAAAGGTTGATTCCACGAAACGTGCACAGATCTCATGGCAACTGCTTACAATAGACTCAGCAAATCGGATCGTAGGTGGGTATGTGTTACGTGCAGCACAGATGCTGTAGTATTACTGAGCAACATCGTTGTTCTATTGACAGGTCTGCGGAATAAATTGTCAGCAAACTTGGAAAAAGATAGCCAACGAAAACAAGAATAGGGATGTAGATAAGTCTACCATCGATGGAGCACGCATTAGCACTAATGATGACATGTTGAAACTCAGCACCATCATTACGTCGACGGTAATTGACTCCCTCACTAAACTCAGGCCCCCCAGCACAGTGTCCTTAAACTCAGCGGTGGTCCCTCCAAACTCTGCGGGTGACTGCACCCACTCCAACAGAGCTAAAAATGACCAGGTATCACCGTCTAAGGTAAACATACCAAGTGTAGTACGGACATCAACTTGTGATTTGATCGCTCAGTCTACCCCCAAAAACGTCCTCCTGATTATCAAAAAGCCTACGACTCAGAAACCTGCTTCAACCTCCAAATAACAACGTGCTGAACCTGAACGCACCGGGAAACCTGGGAAAACAATAACGGTCCGTGACGACTCTCTCATAATCATGAACCTCATAGACAATCTTGACCTTCCTCTCAGTTTGCAGGACAAAAACGACAGGATGCCCTGGGGTGAACTGAACAAAAAGCTCGAACTTCCTAGAATAGAGCCTTTGACGGTCACACGGCTCACTCGGGAAAAGGAATCTAAACATCAAAATCACCCGAGACTACTTTGTGTAACACTCAAGAATGCTAACGAAGTAGAGGACGTCCTGCTAGCTAGTCATCTACTGAAATCCCATTTGAACGTCAGAATACTGCCCGACATACTGTATTCTGAGCGCACTCTCATCTGGAACGTCCCTAAAGATTCTCGAGAGAAGTTTTTTCGCGGAAGAAATATCATCGTGCAAGATGTACCGGAAAACATGGACACTGGTCAAGCAAACTCTGACATTCGGGAATGGAAATTCATCAAACAGTCCTTGAGGCTCAAAAACATACTGACTCAGCATGTGATGAGACTAGTCAAGAAGGACGGGGATCCTAGACCCCGACTAATGAGAATAACTTTTCCATTCTCCCATATGGCGGCTGCAGCTCTGGAAGCATTTCGTGTCAACAGACGTCGGTTGCCAACTGGGATCCACATGCACTCAGACTGGCCATATGACGCCAGGATCAGGCACAAAGGCAAGCTGGAGCTGACCATTCCACTTGTGGACTGTCTTCAAGATAAAAAAACGTGTAAAGGACAGGGCCTACCAATTCGTCAAAACTTGTATAGGTGAGTTACCTGTCCACTCACGTAAGGCTCTCACAGACAAACAGGAAGAAGCTCACGCGTTTCAAATCGAAAGTATTAACTGCTTATACATGAACGCCGCGAGTCTGCCAAATAAAATGGATGAACTAAGTGAACTTAGCAATGCTAATAAGGTTCATCTGATAGGAATATCTGAAACTTGGATATCTCCTCAGTATTTGGACCAGGAGCTAGCAATACCTGGGATGTCTCTGTTTCGCAATGACAGAAAAACAGGAATTGGGGGTGGAGTAGCCCTATACATACGATCTGGCTTGGAGGTACACCAAGCTCACAACCATGAGTTTGACAATCTTGAGTAATCCATAGGGTGCTCTATGAGATTGTCCACTACTTCGATGTGCCTAGTCGGAGTCATATATAGGAAGCCCACTGCCGACATCGAGTATGACAGTCGTATGCTGGAAGGACTATCCCGCTCCACACGTCTCGGTTTCACTCATATCCTGATTCTAGGGGACTTCAATCTCCCTAGAGTCAACTTCGCAGAACATACGTATATTGGAGGTGAAAATTCAATCGAAGCTCGGTTCTTCAACCTCAATGAGGATTAGGGATTATATGAAAATGTGAAGTTGGCTACTCGTTGGAGGAACAGTCAGACACCGTCGCGCTTAGACTATGTTTTCCCCCTGGGGAAAAACGATCACGCCGTTATAGCCTTCAGTTTCGTAAGCAAAACTGAGCTAAGATATCCCAACAACAACAGGCGCTGGAATTTCAAACGGTTGAATGCGTCAGCTCTACAGGACTATCTACAACAGGTGGATTGGGATGTTCACCCTCAACTTGATGTGGATGCTCATTGGAACTTCCTATTACACACGCTCTTATGTGCTACAAAGCAGTCAGTCCCTCAAACGGTCCCCAAAAGCCACATGCAACCTACAATCATCAAAAACCGCACTCTTCGTTTGCTAAGCCGTAAAAGGCACTGTTGGGCAGAATACAAACGAACCAACAACAATCGCGAGTACAGGCAATACAAACATATAAGGAACATATGTACGAAGGCTATAAGAGAAGACAGGCTCCAGTACCAGTTAAAGCTTATGGATAAATTTATTTCCAATCCGAAAAGCTTATTTCGTTATGTAGCCTCTCTTCGTCAAGCCAAAACTGGAGTATCTCAACTGCTAGGTCCTAACGGCCCGACCGATAATGACGGTGACGCCGCTAACCTCCTGGCTGAGCAATACTCCCGGACATTTCAACCGTCCCACATCAACTATACTGATGACGGCTCTATCTGCAACTGCACAGGACTTTCCGTAGTGAAACTGAGCGCTGACTTGGTGTTCCGTAAACTACAACACCTAAGAACATACATTTCTCCTGGTCCAGATATGGTCCACTCTGCTATACTGAGGGAAGCAGCTTCAATCCTGGCAACACCGCTTAGCGTGATGTTCTCACACTCGCTAAGTCGAGGCAAACCACCGGAAAATTGGAAGCTGGCTCATATCGCACCAATCTTCAGAGGAGGTCGACGCAGCGAACCTTCAAGTTACCGACCAGTAACTCTTCTCTCTATATCTTCAAAGATCATGGATTCCCTGGTATACGATGGTATACACGACTATCTGCTGTCCTTAAATTTCTTCTCACCCCAACAGCATGGTTTCTGGAAGGGTTGATATATCCGAGGAAGATTAAATCACGAGTAACTTCTGAGATGCTAATTGACTAATATTATCTTTATATTCTTACGGTATAACTATTCAATAGTTAGATTATGTATATTTATATTCCTCTTATTATAAGCTTCACTTTGATCTATAATTTATCATTGTACGATTCACTGTCCCTAAATTATGCTCAGTTTATTAATTACTGTCTCCCGCGTTCACAGCCACTTTTTGGCTTATTTTTGTACATATGCTATTTTCTATTTTATGGTACGTTGTGGTCTGTCTGATTGATATATAAACCGAGTATGTCTGAAATAAACGATTTGGTTTGATTCGATTTATATAACGGAAGCTGGTGTTGCGTTCTGGACTCAAGAGGACGGGTTAGAAGGACATAGGACCCAATAAGAACGCTAGACTGCTCAGACCGGTTGAACGTCATTGGTCTTGTCATAGTCCTCTCTATTAGTATCCCTAGTCGTAAAAGATTTAGGAGTTCTGGTGCCCTACGACTTAAAGTATTACACCAACTGTGACAGAAATGCCTTTCGAGCAAACCTTGCACTAGTAACATTGAAGCGCATTTTCGGTCAGTTTCACGGGAGAACTTTTCACATAATCTTCAATAGTTTCATTCGTCCCCATTTAGAGTACGGAAACATAGTATTCCCTCCTACACTCCAAAAGGATAAGGACACTCTAGAGCGTATCCAACGGCGAGCCACGAAATCAGTTCAAGAAATCAAATTTAAACCTTATGAAGAGCGCCTCCAATCACTTAATTTTTACCCATTAGAGTATAGGCGTCTTAGAGGTGACCTTCTAATGGCTTACAGTATTCTTAACACACCTGGACATCCTCTTAAACACCTACTTAAGCTTAGTCCCAACAATAACCTAAGGGGTAACACCCAGAAATTAGAGATACAACATAGTAGAACGGACTGCAGGAACAACTTCTACTCCTCAAGAGTTGTCAAATGCTGTAATTCGCTGCCAGCTGAGCTAGTCCAAGCAACTTCCCAGGAGTCCATTAAGAGGCGACTTGATCTATTCTTAAAGACTAAGGATAATATCTTACTATGATTTACCAATTTCTTTTGTTCCCTTTTATCGTTAATATACCTAGGTTCTTGCCTGGAGGTATTAGTGATCCCCTGCTTCTAGACATAGAAGCCCGTTAAGCGAAAGCTTCTTTTATTCAGTCCACAACCATTTGAAACATTTGACGATCTGAATATTGTAGAGGGAAGTTTGATCTCTGAAGGCTAGTCATACTGCATATACACGTAGAGAACTGAGTAGGTTTTTGCTCCGTTATGTTTTAGTGTTAGGACTAAAATCATCATGTCGCTCACGAATATTTAACGTGTGAACAGATCGAGAAGTGGTTTGAACGTTCCGATCTCTTTTCATTACCATATCTTAAAATTCGTTTCTTCATTAGCTCCTAATTTTAAACCTGTATATTTCATATTTGAGACTTAGTCACTCTGGTTGGATCTCTTGTATTATTCTGTACTACTCAGTAATCTTGCCGAGAACATCTTGATCAAAGCCTTAAACGTCTTTCAAGAATATCCAAAAGGTCAAGGACCTTAAGCACTTAATAATTCACAGTTACTTCTCTTTGGTTTGGTGATGGTTCAGAATCGATTTTTCATGCATACTTAGCATCGGCTACTGATTCGGTTTATTCTTACTGCTCATGTGTAATCCTTGTTGATGATTGGGGATTATATTGCAGTTGAAATAAGGTTTGTCCCTGAATGTATTCAGAAATAATGGTAAACTAAATCAATCAACATTCCAGGTTGGGATTCTTGTGTGGTCATATAATGACTCAGTGAACGCTTTTGGTTAAAGTTCTGATCCCATTGTCTGGAGGTATTTGTAGAAAAATAACAGTTGATCCTGGGGACACCACTTATAATCCCTAAAGATTCTTCCCAAGTTAAGAGAGACGAACTACCCCCCCCCATTCTAAGTATTTTCCTGATGCTATATTTCACCAGGAAAGTTGGTAAAACTCTATTTTATGGACGACCTTTGAACGTATGTTTAAGTGACCTTGAGAACATTAGCCAACACGAAGATTTAGTATAAAGTAAAAATATATTATAAAAAAACTGATGAATTACAATGGATATTCTCCTTTCACATGATTTAAGAGCTTGTTAAGGTTTGATAAAGGTTCAGAAGTTTTGAAATCATAATGCATGCGGTATAGGAACTCGTCCATACGGCTCCATAATAATCGTCCTCTGGAGCAGTGGTAGGGTCTTAAAAAAGACTTCAGCCTAGACCACATGCCTTCAATATTGTTTGTATGAACCCCCGTTGTTGGATCGACAAAATGAAGTTTGTGTACTACAATATGATGCACAAAACCAAGTCTCGAGAGGCATCTATACGCCTTCCAATCATCGGTATAGATCGTGGTGCCAGGCTGAACGTACTCCTTGATGATTGGTATTATTGTCGTTACCTTACGGTTTCTCACTCTTTGAAAATGTTCCTTTTAAGCTGAACTATCGTAAAATCCAAGTACCTGTCAAGTGTATTCACGGAAGTACTACTTACCCAATCTTCCTTGATAAAACGTCCTTTGTTGTATTTTCGCTTTCTAACTACTGTCTCATCTATTTCCACTATCTTTGCAACTCCTCAAAATGATTCATGTACTCGTATCATTTTCATTGCGCATATATCACGGCAATATTCATACCACTGAACGGCGGAAGTTTCCGTAACATCTGCAAAAGCCGCAGCTAATGTTACTGGAGACTTAATGATCCAATTTGTCTTAGCCTAAGCCATGACCGGGAAAAGAAAGTGCCAGTTCGATCAGATTTTTTTCTCCAACATATAGTACAACGAAATATAATGTCATCACGGTAGTCTGCACATCGTGCTGCAGTCATTTGATTGCCGCAGTCACAGACACAGAAACTTCGTAATAGTCCCATATGTTGTAGTCGCTCAACAATCACTTCTCTAAAATGTGCATATTTGCAGTAGACGTTCCTCGTTATCTGTCCTGCGACCAACGAGTCCCCATCGGCCACCTAAACGACTCTCTTCTGTGCCTAGACGTCCGACCTGAGCATTCAAGTCTCCGGCTAGTACTACAATATCTGTCGAGCGCACTTTCTGGAGAAGAACAGTTAGCTGGTGGTAGAACTCATCCTTGATTGCATCCGGGCTGCAATCTGTCGGGGCATAGGCGGAGACGACGAAAAGACATCGTTTCTCACGCCGATTTCTTCTCACTTTGATGGAACTTTCTAATCTAACAGCACATAACCGACTGTTAATGGGGATCCAGTCGACTAGTGCTGCCTCAGCTCTTGCGATTAGTGCGACACCAACGCCAGCAAGACCAGACGAAGATGCCACAGGGTCCCCGGATAAACGCACGTAAAACAAGCTTTTTGAAGCGACAGATGGAGAGCGAACTTGTAGTACTTCACCAGAGTCTTGAATACGGGTCTCGGATAGACAACACACGTCAATATTAAGACTTTCCAAAGACATAGCCAACCCTATCTGTTGTCCGACCTGCATAAGTGTGCGAACGTTGAAGGCAACCAGTTAGAATGGTGCGCGTGGTTTTAGGAAAACTGCTTCAGTACTCGTATTCAGTGGTAACATACAATTTTCAACCAGGCAGTGACTCGAGAGCGTTTTGATAGAGCCGAATTTTCACCATAGATGAGCTGTTGTATAAGTCGAAAAATAAGGATGGACAGAGTGGCAATAAAAGAGAGTAAATAGATGACGTGGTAAATAATAATAATAATAATAGTAGTGCGAATCATTTCAGTGTAAATCGGAGCGAAAAGAATATTTTCCATAAGTAAATAGTTCATCATGTTTTAGTGCGTAGGCTGGGATACTGCCGGGTGCCCAGACCGAAGCAGGTGGTTTTCTTAGGGGGCCACACCCCGAGTCTTCGACCTAAAGGTCTAACCCACAAGGCAGTGGAGCATCGTGAGAAGATTCAGTCCCATGGAAGCCGGTGACCAAAAATTGGTTCATACGCCATTTGTTTCCGCAGAATACTGGAGCCCATGTGCACCATTGATTTGGGATCCGGTTAAAGCGTCAGACATTCGCTTTTCGTCCTCTCATTTTCGTAAACAACACCCCCGCCACGTGAAGGCAGTGAGTAGGACTTCCCTGGCAGAGACTGTATACGCGTGGCCGTGTGAGAGCATTTCGAGAGGGAGGGCGAACCCACCCCACTCTCGGCCATACCAGGGCATTTGGGGGCTGAAAACATCACAAAACTATCACCATTTTGAGCATTCAGTTTTATAAATACTAATTGTTAATTCGTATCTCCCCTTGGTTTGAAGCTAGAGACTCTGTAACTCTCAGCGAATGTATTATCTCAAAACCTACAAGGACTGGGTGAGATTCGTATGTGTAGAGTTTCTCTGTGAGCATATTTCTCCCAGTGACAAACTTGTGATACAAAGAGACTACACTGTTCCTAGTGCTTTATACTGCAGTTTTCTATATGTTAGTGTTTGTGAGGTATTTAAATAATTCTACTGAGCCATCTTATCACATTTGAGAATTCTAGTCTATCTATTTCTGGTTAGGAATCTGGATACTGTATCTTGATTTACTATATATGCAGCTAAAAGTTGAACACATATACGTCTATTTGGTTACCGATGACTGGCCCTCTAAGAAAACCACCTACTTCTGTTTGGGCACCTGGGCAGCATTCCAGCTCCCACACAGATCGAATGATTTGTGTGGCGCATATATATTTGGTGCTTCCTTGTACCAATGTTTATGTGTTTAAATAAATAATAAATCCTGTTTATAACAATTTTCACTCAGTCATCCCTGTTCAAATGTTTCGTATCTGAATTAACCTTGTTTATATTTAAATTAATCCAGTAAACGCAACTGTTGGAGGTTGGTAATGCCTGTTGTTCGTGACGGTAAGACAAGACTTCTACGCTACCCTGCCTTACTGTCACAATGCATTCTTGAATCTTCAGTGTATGCGAAATGTGTTTTGTCATTAAAAGATGTTAAGCACAATTCTTGCGAAAAAGAATTTCAAATATTAAAACGTTGTGTTCAAAGCCGTGCACGAGAAGCTGGCGTAAGAATTTGATTTCTGTTGTTACTGTCTAAGATGTCGGGAAGCGAGAAATCAAAAGCCAACTTGACTTCTCATGTCAGTTTGTTCCCAGCACCACCTTGGCAACTGATAAATAAACTCTTCAGTACCGAGACCCCTCCACGTCCGCCTACCCCTCCTGGTTCGACTGCTTACAGAATGTTCGGAAATTTTTACAATTCTGAAGATGCCATCCTCCGATCTCTGGAATCACAGGGTGTTCGTCGAGTTTATCCACAGGTTAGTTCACCAATAAGTTTAACTAGTTTAGTCTTAAAAAATAGTTGATCATGTAGTAGTAATACTACGAATCATGGTTCTGAAGATATATTTCTACTAAATTAGAAGGTTTAGATGGAGATCACGATGTATTATTAGGTCAAAATGCTTCTAAATTATGGAGACCAGTTAAGGAACAAAAGTTAAAATTAATAGGTATCAATTCTATTGTTGGACTTGATAGTTCCAAAGAAGTTGAACTCTGGGTAAAAAGTTAATAATAAATATGTTTTTGTCATATCTCAATGAGTAGAGTTTGTATTTCTGACGTTTCGCGACTTAATGTACGTCACTTCATATGAGCAAATAAATGACCGAAATAAAATTAACACAAGTTTAAATAGTACAGAGAATATAATGCAGAATATTTTTAGTACAATCAAAATATTAATGGGTCTGAACGTGTCAATGTTTAATTGTTTTTGCTTAGAGTGAATTTATATGACATGTCACTGTATTAATTTGTGTCAGGTGGGTATAAAAATGTATACATTTCTAATATGAAGTAGTAGGCTTGAAACTGAGTGTGTGCAGATTGTGAGGTAAATAAATAGTGTCAAATCTGGTTGTTGGATGAAGAGTCAGGTCTTCTTTCTTATTGAGGGTTGAGGGATTTGGTATATGAAACACTTCGGCTACTCTCTTTTCTTTATAGTTGGAAAAACCTTTCTGAACTATTTTGATATTTTTAATATCAATTTGGTGGTCATTGGAAATAGCATATACTGCTATTGCTAATTTAGCTTAACCTGTAGATTTTCTAATTCTAAAAGATTATTGGGCCTATGTGTGTAACTTACGTGTTCCTTGGCATGCGTCGAGATCTCGCGGGAAGACTCCAATGTGAAACGCGTCAAAATAGACACAACCTGATCTGCAGACAATTTCTATGTAGATGTAAACGGAATCTTTTATTTGTTTGTTGTCTTATAGAAAGCTTTAATTTTGTAAGTTTCCAAGATCCGTTGTAATTCGTATGTCGTACCTTGGCGGTAAGATAAAACCACAGCGCCGATTCAACATTTCCCACTAAAATTTTTATTTATAGAAGGATAGTTTTGTTCCATGCTTTTATAATATTTTTAGGAAAATTATTAAATCGTAGGATGTTTATTATATCTTCTCTTAACCTGTCTTCTGAAGTAATGGTCTTGGTTACTCTTCTGAAAAGATTCTGGTTTAGGGAAATTTTTGCACTGAATCGATGTGCAGAGTTAAAATCAATATACCAATTTAAATGTGTCGGCTTTCGGTATATGGCTAGAATTCCTTTTAACTAAACAATATAAGAATGGTAGTTCATTATGTTCATCTTCCCTTTCGAAAGTGAACATGATGTGTTGTGAGAACATGTTCATCTGTATGAAGAAATTTCTAGGGAGAGTTTTTTTAATAATGAAGAATTTGTCATCTGTATATCTGAGACCGATGCTTGGTCTGATGTTACTGACAAAAATTAGTGACTCAATTTGGTACATTAATAAATTACCAACAATCAGATATACTGAAGATTCCATGGCTACTCCATTCATTTGTCAATATAAAGTCCCTATAAAAGTGAATAGTGTTAAATTCAAGCATAGTTTGGGAGATTTTATGATTGAACCAATGCTTAATGGGCATCTGCTAGATAGAGTATGATCATTCTTTAGTAATCCATTAACGAAGCCTAGACATTAGTTGGGATGCTAGTGTATAAAGATACATCATGGTTTGCCATTGTTTAGTTCTTGTTGATAAATAATTCCGAGGTCTTTTTTTAAATTCATAGTAATCCTTTATGGCCTCAGTATATCGCTTAAATATCTAGATAATAAAGCACATGTGGGAGCGTTTGTAAAATCCATCTTAAAGGAATATCAAGCTTATGAATTTTCGGCAGTCCATAGGTACGCTCTCACATGGCCACGCGTATATAGCCTCAGCCAAGGAAATCCTACACACTGCCTTCTAGTGGCTGGGGTGTTGTTTACGAAATTGAGAGGATGAAAAGCTTATGTCCGGCACTTTAACCAAGTTGATGGACACGGAGAGTCCACCTAGGGGAGTTGGAAAACCCTTATTCCAAATCAATGTTGCACATGGGCTCCAGTATCCTAAGGTAACAAATGGCGTATGAGCCAATTATTGGTCAGCGGCTACCATAGGATTGCATCTCCTTACGTTGCTCCATTGCCTTGTGGATCAGACCTTTAGGTCAAAGGCTCCGGATGTGGCCCCCTAAGAAAACCACCTGCTTCGGTCCGGGCACCCTCACACAAATCAAATGAGGTTTGTGTGGTGCATATGTATCTGGTGCCCCCTTATACCAATATCTATGTTTTCAAATAAATAAAAAATAAACTATAATTAATAATTCTTTAAAAATCATTTAAAATGTAATTACCTATTATTCTTTCCTATAGTTTAACCTTTTTTGTTACGCATAAATTTCTAAATAAATATTTAATGACATATTTTTATGTTGAATTTCAAACCATCAGATGTAGATTTTATTTAAGATTAAAAAACCTTTTTAACTTGCATTATCCATGCTGCTGCACTTGTTGCTTTTCAAGTTTAAAATTCTCATACTACAAATAGTAATTACCCCTTACCAGTACAGATAGAACAGAAAACACAAGCTTTTTTGTTGTGACACAAAATACTAAAAGATGTTAATAATTCCAGACCGTTCACACCAATCAGCAGAACTCTAGAAATAGATTAAGGTGGTCGATGTACTATGTGACAATACCTTTATTCTTAGGACTGTTAGAAGCACTATGCATTTTAATCCAAGCATTTCGTACCTCTGAAGTAAATCACTTTGTAATTTCGTTGTCTAGTTCTGTATAACTATTGATCTTATAACCATTTGCTGTTTTAAATTGACTTAATGAAAGGTTTACAAATTAGACTCTTACTATATACTGTCAAGAATGATAATGAATGTATCTCAAGATTATATCATTATATTAGAAAAAACAATACAACAAAATGAGCTTTTTTATTTTTCACTATTGTTCATTTTAATTGCGGGGGGGGAGGGTATGGAAATTTAAACCTAATATGTAATTCTGTAGTCGAAGGTAAATTCTCAATATACAAGGGTATTATTTAACCAGACTGAGTGTTTATACAAGAGTGAAATGAGAAGAAACCAAAAACAATTTAGTGTTCTTGTGGCTTAGCGATAAAGGCGTTCAACTTCCAACCTCTAAGTCTCAGATTTAAACGCCGCTCCATCTACTCCGGCTTGTATCATTATCCTTCATACTTAGAATGTGATTTATACCCATCTACTTGGTTCATGAGTTAATTTAGTTTTATCTATCATGACCTCTTTAACTACCGAGTTAAATATTACTGAAGAATGTAATTTTTAGTAGTTCCGTTTCTTACTCAGTTCTACATTAAGTATTAATTTAGCGTGAAGTATAAATTTATGTTGTGTGTAACCCTTTGTTTTCAAAAGAAAATCAATCATAGATATTTTATTTATAGGGTTCGATTTATTTTTTAATTGAGTACTTATTACTGATACTTTACTCTCGGAATCATATTTTAGCGTTTCAATTGTTTCAACAAAAACACTTTTATATTTCTTTGTTTTCATTTACCATCAGACGTATAATCGTAAGCGGGAGTTAAGAAAAATTAATTTTTCAATATTGGCTAACTATTTGGATTTGTTGGACATTATCACTCGTGATCCTAGTTCATGTAAACGAACAGAAAAGCTTGATCATTTGGCTATTCTATTCATTAATATGCATCATCTTGTTAATGAGTACCGACAACACCAAGCCAGAGATTTACTTCGAGAAATTCTTAAATATCAGGTTATTAATTTTTTCAATAATTCATTTTATTTCATAGTTGTATAAAGAGTTTGTGGAAAACCTTTCACATCCATACATGTTGCAACACTACACTGAATAAACAAAACTACTTCCATAATTTATAATAATTTATTTGCGCTAAATATAGTCTAGTTAATAAGTATAGTAATTAAGAAATACTATAAAAACAAGTGCTTAAGTAAATTTACTCCAGTCTGAAAGATAGTCTTTCAAATTTTATGTTATTAGGTCGGAGTAGAAGGAAGGAAGGAAGTTTGTACTATTTTTATGGTACCGCTGTACTCGTAAAAAAGTTTTGTTTCAAGTTGTTTGTCGTATAGTTGCTGTCACTGGACTGTCAGCATTATACTTGTGTAACAGTTAGTTATCTAAGCCACTCAGATCGAAGGTTATATAGTAAATGGTCAACTATTCGATCACTAATATTAACTTCATTCTAATTACTTAGGATTCATTTTGATCTAATAAGCAACAGTTAGACCTAGTAGTCAGGCCCTAGTATTATTTCTACGTGAGTAATTTATAAAATATCCATTTTATTGTCGAGAAACTAATTTACTGACTCGGTGTGTTATCTTTTGATATCAGCTCATTCGGGACCATATTTCAATAAATCGTCGATCGGCCACATTACATCAGCCCCCAAATGCCCTGGTACGGCCGAGAGTGGGGAGAGTCCGCTCTCCCTCTCGAAATGCTCTCACATGGCCATGCGTATATAGCCTCTGCCAGGGAAGTCCTACTCACTGCCTTCTCGTGGCGGGGGTGTTGTTTACAAAAATGAGAGGACGAAAAGCGAATGTCTGGCGCTTTAACCGGACCCCAAACCAATGGTGCACATGGGCTCCAGTATTCTGCGGAAACAAATGGCGTATGAACCAATTTTTGGTCACCGGCTTCCATGGGACTGAATCTTCTCACGATGCTCCACTGCCTTGTGGGTTAGACCTTTAGGTCGAAGACTCGGGGTGTGGCCCCCTAAGAAAACCACCTGCTTCGGTTTGGGCACCCGGGTAGTATCACAGCCCTCACACAAATCAATTGAGATTTGTGTGGCGCATATGTATTTGGTGCCTCCCTGTACCTATACTTATGTGTTAAAATAAATAAATACATTACATCATGTCATTTTCCTACTCACCATTTTAGCGACTAATACACAGCAAAATTCTTGATCATCCTCCAAAACGCATTAAAGTCGCACTCTTCTGCTTTAAACACTTGTTTTTCAACTAGTCGGTCGTAGGTTCAAAACACGAGACATGTATCGCAGTTCGTGTGGTCGGGTAATATCACTAGCCGTTACATAATAATATGACTTGGCTTAGCATACATACCTTTACAATACATCTGAGTTACGTTTAGTTTCTTCACTTGAAGTTTAGTGACTTATTAAATTTAGTCATCCTCAGGCAGTTATTCGTCTTATAAAACACTTCCCAGTTAGTTATCATCAAAGTATGTTCTGGTACAAATACGCATCGGCTAAAGATGTTACATTACATATCACACGAATGAAAGAGAAAATTAGCACATGAAACGACTTTAATTTGTTCAATTTGTGAATGATTGATCAAATCATTCTGATCAGAATATTGTTTGGCATAAACCCAATTATTTTTTATTGGTCAATCATCGAAATCCAACGTATACTTATCTCGACTAGCAACTCGGAATGAACATACACAGATACAATGTTTCATAATAGTTATACAAAGATTTCATCCACTTTCAGGTGAACATAGGAGCAGAAACTGTCGAAAAGGCGGAACAGTATTTAACACGAGCAGACGAACAACTCAGGATAGCAGCTAATGATCTTATTGTCCCTGGTACACCAGTTTCAACTTCTAGCAGTTTTAATCTCATGGACAATCTACGGAATGGTCTGAATGATCTAGGCCCCGAGTTGGCTCCCTTATTACATACTGTACTTGATGAGACACTAGTATCTAATCCTGTTGGTCGGTATTTACAACCTAAGCAAGGGTCTATATCCCTTCCAAATCAATCATTGGAATACTGTTCTGCCAATGTGAACAATCCTGATGATTATCGAATACCTGATCACATCGATATGGCTCTTTGGGATTTTCTATTTCAAACTAAAGATGATTCTGAAATGGATATTAGCTAGTGTGCATTTATTTCATTGTATTCTCAGAATCAGTATAAATAAATTCTTTTCGTGTTTATTGGAAGTATGACTCTCATTTACTAAAAATTATATTTCAATCATGTAATGATTTGTTATAATCAAATATAGTTTTGGGTCTTTTTCGCTCTAGTATTCAGATTACAGTAACAAATTATTTCTAAGTTCATTACAGGGCTTTTCTATGTTATATGCTTTATATTCAATGGATTAGGAGGTATTTAGCTAACATATTGTAAGTTCTCTTAGTAAAGCAGTTTCACCTGAACGTTGCAAAGCAATTTGTATTATTTTTTATTAGAATTCTTTTGAATGTAGGAATATGTTCAGTTTTATGGTTCTATAGTTTTCAACTGATCATTGCACTGAGATCATCTTGTTCACAATTCTGTATGCCCCATTGATTGACTAATCTTTGACTGATCGATTAACGTTATAGGTAAATATTGAGTAAAACTATGATGATCTTACTCCAATGAAAAAACCAGTTCCGATTTTTGTCTGAATCAGTTAAAGCGGATTAACTATGCAGTTGTAAATTGAGTTTTTATTTTCTAAGAAAAAATTTGAACTGCAAAATAACTTGGTATAAATCGCACCCTGTAGAATAAGATTGAGACGTGTAAATAATTGGGTTTTCGATTTTGAAAAACCAGTCTATTACCTACTCCTGTTAACCCGCGTTAGAGCATAGGCCGCCCACCAGCATTCTCCATCCAACTCTGTTCTGGGCAATGCTTTCCAGTTCTTTCCACTTACTATGCATCCTTTTGATGCCTGCTTCCAATTCTCGGAGCAGTGTGTTCTTTAGCCTCCCTCTTTTCATTTTCCCTTCGGGATTCCAAGTTAGTGCTTGCCTCGTGATGCAGTCTAGTGATTTCCTCGATGTATGTCCTATCCATCTTTTGACTGTTTTCCTAATTTTTTCTTCAGCTAAAAGTTGGTTTGTTCTCTCCCACAGTAGGCTGTTGCTGATGCTATCCGTCTAACGGACATCGAGTATCTTGCGTAGACAATTGTTTATAAATATTTGCACTTTCCTGATGGTGGATGTAGCAGTTGTCCAAGTTTCAGCTGCATGTAGTAGAACTGTCTTGACGTTCGTATTGAAGATTCTGACTTTGACGTTGGCTGAAAGTTGTTTTGAGTCTCAGACACTTTTCAATTGTAGGAATGCTGCCCTTGCTTTGCCAATCCTTTTTATCACATCTGAGTCAGATCATCCTTGTTTATCGATGATGTTGCCCAGATATGTAAGACTTTCCACCTCCTTCAGAGTTTCTCGTGTATCTTGAGGCCTACTGCTGCCAAGATTGCTGCTACACTGACTGACTGTCTTCACCTGAATTCGTTGGTGTATGGGGTAAAAGAGTTAAATTATCTGCGAAGTCCAAATCATCTAGCCGTATCTGTACTGTCCATTGTGTTCTGTGCTTCTTTTCAGATGTGGAGGGCTTTATAATCCAATAGAACACCAAAAGAAAGAGAAAAGGCAGGAGTAAGCAGCCTTGTCTGACTGCGGTCCTCACTTGGAACGCGTCTGTCAGCTGTCCTCCATGCACGAATTTGCAATGTAGTCCGTTGTATGAATTCCAGATGATGCTGACGGTCTTCTCATGTACACCATAGTGTCGAAGAAGGTTTTCCTATCCACGCTGTCAAACGCCTTCTCATAGTCAGGCAGGTTGATGCATAGTGACGAGTTCTATTCAATAGATTGTTCAACGATGATGTGTGCACGACCGGTACTTACGGAATCCGTCCTGTTGATCTCGAGGTTGGGCGTCTACTGAGTCTTTCATCCGGTTCAGCAACACTCTGTTGAAAACTTTTCCTGGTACTGATAATAATGTGGTGTCTCTGAGTTCCCACACTTGCTCAGGTCTCCTTTTTTTCGTATCTTGATGAGGTGTCCGTCTTTCCAGTCCGTCAGCACTTGTCCTTCCTCCCAGATCTTCCTGAATAGAACGTGGAACATCTTTGCAGTTACTTCCATGCCTGACTTTGGTGCTTTAGCTGGTATATTTTCAGGTCCTGTTGCTTTCCCATTCTTGATTTGTCTGATGACCATCTAGATTTTTTCGATCGTTGGTATAGTGACATGTATAGAACGGTCTGTGTGTGCTGCTTCAATGGGAAGTGGATTGAATAGAGCTAATCTATTCAAGAGTTCCTCAAAGTGTTCCACCCATTTGTTCCTCTGTTCTTGAATCTCGGTGATTAGCTTGCCTATTTTGTTCTTGACCGGTATTCTGAAATGGAAAGTCCAGTTGTCATTTTGTGTTATTAAATAAATAAACAATGCAGGACTTGATGCAAGTTTACATAGTTTTAATTTTTCAGTAAATGACTACGGGGAAACGTTTTTTTCAACCCACTCGAAGAATATCCCAAACCCTTACTTACTAAAAACTCCGCTAAGTACCAACACTGGTAATTCCGCTGTACCCGGACGGTGGTTTCTTTGTATCTGTGGACAATTACTAATAGACTTAACAAAACTGCCATTTTATAGCTATCAAGTAGTATGGTACAGACGGCTATCTGTTAAGCTTAGACTTGAGTATCTTTCTTGAGTTACAAGTGACATCCTTTTGGAAAAAACAGAAAAGCGTCATATCTTCTCTGAGAATTATTTAGCCACTATATTCGATGAAGCATCTTAGGTTAACAAAGTAATCTAAGGTCGTAATGAATGACTTTTAATAACACTGAGGTCTGAAGGAACTTTCATTCTACATAGTTACATCAATATACTGTCACGATACTAATAAGATTCAATTATTACAGCTAACACTCTTCCAACTGAATATTCAAAAATGCAATCAGTTATCAACTACATAGAACTTGTTCGGATCTAAACTGCCACACTTGACAGAGAGGGAATTGAGATAATATAAATGGTAAAGCAAATCTGCACATAAGTCTTCAGTCATTTACTATGCCTACTTGGAGGACCCCGACCACAGTATTTTTGTCTTCCGTCCGAGTCAGACCAATAATTAATAACGTCATGGTCTTCCCGCCCTTAGTTTTTCATCAACTTACAATACTGGCCGAAATAGTGCAGTGATGTAAGTTAGCTTCTGCACACTTATTTTTACTAGGCATGTGTATATCTGGCCCACACCACTAGTTTCACAAATTGGAGAGACTTAGGCAACATGTTTCCGTATTTTTACTAATATTTTTCGTCTTCCCCCAATCCATCAATACTGTTGAGACGAGTGAAGAATCCAATCGAGTTAACTGCCCTACTTCTTATTGATTCAATTTACTCCTAAGGCATTATTTTGCATTTGGAAAGAATGAAACTCTTAACAAGTATTTTTACAGCGTCAGTCAAAAGACCGGTATACGATAATTTGTTCACAACTAGCAATAGGTATAAAATAAAAACTAAACCTCCAAACTTTACTTTTTTTCATATTCAGGTTGTTTATAAACGTCTTCCACACTCTGAATGGCCGTATTTGGCATGTGCGTTCATCACAAACTAACTCTTATTATTCACGTTCCTCCTTGTAGCCAGACATTTCATTATGGCTTTAAAAGTTTTATGCCTTCACCAGTCTTGTTATTTATTGACGCGAACTTATTTTGTTTTTGCTTAAATGTTATCACTTCTAAATTAATTACAACATACATAAGCTTCCATTCCCGTCTGCAAATTTTATAGTTGACCGTCTATAGGATGTCGGATTTCTTCTGTTAAAAATTAACTGTTGGGTTGAACCATATTATTTGATGCCGAATATTGACTTGTGGTTCCTTCGATAACTGTGATCAGTGGTTGGAGATTTTGAGTGATATGATTCAGTGGTGCAAATGGATTCACTGTTTATCTTCGTCTTAAATTCTAGTACTCCTCCATACATACCTTTGCACTTTGTCTTTCCGAACCATATTTCCAACCTATAGTCTTTATCATTGCTATTACATTATATCAGTCTCTTTTCATATTCATCTTATCGTAGTAATATGACATGGAAACTTGTATTAAAGTATATCTGTGCCAGGCTTTGCGTTGATGATAATTGAGTGAATGTTACAAATGATCCTGAACCATTGTGTATTGCTTTTATATGGTACGACAAAAGTTGCAATTTCCTCTTTCACACTTTGTATATTCTGCTCTACAAGTTTTTGCTAGCTGTTCATTTTAGATTAAAATATTAATCGCATGCTTTCTTGAATAAACTACAGTGTCTTACTGAAGTTCCCAATTACCTCAATTTAATGGGAAATAGTGTGCAGTTTCATACATATCAAGGTGGTTGCAAATGAAACATATAAACAACTTACCTTACAAATTTATACTTAACAAACCTTCGTGTTCGGTTATTGTTGCCTTCAGAGGCTGTTGTCACTCGATTACAACAAATATTACACAATCATACGGCCCAGAGTTAAAATCTTTGAGTAATCTTCTCAAAGTTACTGCCGATCCCAAGCCGGACAAAGAAGGAGGGTTTAGTATAGGATTAACAACTTCATCCCAGAGAAAACAACTTTTCTAAAAAATCACTTAAACTCTGCATTGTGGGTTTAAGTATCTTCATTGAGAAGAGTTACGACAGCTCATGGTGAAAACCGAGATTCTTCGAAATCCATGAGACCGATGCTCCTTCTATCAACTAGAGCAACCATTAACAAGAGAGAGACTGGAAGAACCAATTAAACAGCTGTGGAAATGAGAAAATACAACTTGGTATTGTTCGGAATAAGTGAAACCCATTGGACCCAAGCAAGACAAAGAAGATTAGATTCGAAAGAAATGCCGTTAAGCATTCGTCATAAAGAAAAATCCTCCCACCCACAAAGAGTTCCACTGATGATGTTCAAATGGACATAAAAAACACTTATAAAATAGAGATATCATGGATCCAGGACCATCAAAGCATCCTTCAAAATTAAGGGGATTGCCATGAATATTATCCAGTAATATTCGCCCACAAATGATAGTAAGGAATATGATAAAGATCAGTTTTATGACAGGCTACAATCAATCATAGCGAAGTGCTCAAGAAAGGACCTCACCATCCCGATGAGAGATCTAAACGCCGAAGTCGGGATGGACAACACCGGATAGGAGAATATCATGGGACTGCATGGACTGGACGATG